GCTCATTACCCACGTCACATAATTACAAGTACTTACGTACTAGGTACATTTTTCATTTCGTTTTTTGGACCCAATTGCGCCTTGGCCAACAAGACCAGGGTGCTTACTCTTGAAACCAATCTCAATGTCAATGCAATTTCAATCCAATAAAATCTCAATAATTATACTCTCTCAATACCATTTAGTTCATTCAATAGCCAGGCAATAAGGATGCAATAGGCGCTAGTGTTGCAACTCAAGAGTACGAAATTTCACAATACCAATGTTGATCGATCGGAATTGGATTCAAGGGTAAGCCACCAGATTCGGTCCTATAACTAACAATTTAAAAAAATCACCAGTCAATACAAGGTAGCATTTAAAGTAGTTAGGGAAATAGGTACGTTGTCCTAAGACAATATGAATTCATGAATGAATTCTTATCAAGTAAAGAATATGGTTTATTCCACTTTGTTCACCTGGGTGATTTCACCCAGGTGAACAAAGTAGACTTTTTGGAGTCCTCAATTCACCTGGGAATTATTTCACCCAGGTGATATCACCTAGGTGAATTGAGTTGACTCAAGTAGTCTCCTTTGTTCACTTGTCAATTTAATTCACCCAGGTGCACAAAGGCGACTTTTTACTTTTACGTTGTGGACTTATATCACCTACCTACCTTACATCAAGTTAAATAAAAACTTTCAATTTAACATACATTTTAATACGTTCAAATATCAGATTAATGTTGGTCTTTTACACATACAAAAACATATCACAATTTCTAACACTACGCTAGGAGTTCCAGCTTATAGCTGTACACTGGGTAGGTATATAGGTACTTGAAACGAAACTTGCTTCAATCATTTTTCATACTCCTGGGGAAGTTAAATTATATTTCCATCATACCATATACCATGCACCATATACGTTAAAATCCGTCGAGTAGTCTTTTCTATAAGGAACATTTACATTATACCCAGTGTACAGCTGTAAGCTGGAACTCCTAGCGTAGTGTTAGAAATTGTGATATGTTTTTGTATGTGTAAAAGACCAACATTAATCTGATATTTGAACATATTAAAATGTATGTTAAATTGAAAGTTTTTATTTAAACTGTCAAACACCAAGCGGTCACCGGTGACCGCGGCCTATTGTTCTTTAATTGTGTCTATAAACCGGTACTCGACGAGTTAACTTGATGTAAGGTAGGTAGGTGATATAAGTCCACAACGTAAAAGTAAAAAGTCGCCGTTGTGCACCTGGGTGAATTAAATTGACAAGTGAACAAAGGAGACTACTTGAGTCAACTCAATTCACCTAGGTGATGTCACCTGGGTGAAATAATTCCCAGGTGAATTGAGGACTCCAAAAAGTCTACTTTGTTCACCTAGGTGAAATCACCCAGGTGAACAAAGTGGAATAAACCAATTTTTTCTACAGTAAAATAATGGTGCGAACTCTTTTCAAATGGTAGTCATTTCATAACTCGTCAACGAATGCTCAATGACTATAATTCGAGATACTACACTGTACAGCCATTGAATATCAAAGTCAAGGTCAAAACTGGACTCCTTAAAAAGGGACAAGTGCTCCCACTTTCCACCTCATGCTATACTTCCCTGTTTATAATTTCTAAAAATAACTTTTCTTTTGCAAAATACTGACTTTGCTAGGAATGCTTGAAGAAAAGTGTTAGAATATTTTCATACTTTTTGCTTATTAATTGTGCAATATTGGTAGATCAGTAACACGCTGTACCTAACTATTATTAAGAACTTATCGTTAAACAGTAATTAAAAATTTTAATCACATAATAACTATGATTACGCTAAGCGGTTTATTTTGTCCAATCCGCCTCGAGCGGGAGTGGTGTGGTGATTGACTCATTCTTCGTGTGATGTGAAGAGACACTAGGCAATTACTTCCAACATTAATAAAATTGCTTGTAGCCAACACGATCTTTCTATCAAATGTACCTATATATGCTACTGTTGTAATAAGGTAAAATATTATAATCTAAATATGGGAAGTTACTAGTAGCGCCATCTAGTCGTTCCATTGGAAGTTCCAAAAATTCCTTCCTAAAAGGTCAGCAACGCACTTGGAACACCTCTGATGTTTCGGATGTACATACATGGGAGGCGCCGATTACTCACTTGAGATCACCTTATATCACCTTAATCTTTTACCGGCTTATGCCCATAAAAAACAAAATCACTTTTGGCCGTTTGTTGAATTAAATATAATCACAAATTTTACGATAGCTAATATTCATATGGCTAGAGATATTTTCATTTTGGAGAACTCACTAACGTATAACTATAGACAACTAAAGACCATTTGCATAACGTTTTCTGCGTCATTTCATTAAATAAACCTTTAAATGCAACATTGTAGCCGGTAATTGTGATCAAACTACCTCTGGTGTTGCCGATAGTCTAACCATGACGTGAAAATGTTGTCAATTTGCATGTCAAATAATGTTTTAATAGGAGACTAGGTTTCACCTACGACCTACATATATTTATAGACTACGCATGTATACTTTACATACTATATACTATATACAATAACAAATATGTAATGTATGTAAAGTATATATACTATATACTTTACATACATTACATACTATGTAAACCAGTATAAACTGATCGTTGACTGTGCAAGAAGATGCTGTGATAGTGACACCATAATAAACTGGTTTTGTGTAGTAGTGTGCATATGGAAGCTCTCATTCACCTCTACGGTTTATTTCTATTGTATAAATTAATTCATTTTCTAGCATCACTATTCCGGCGTGTCGTGTTCCGCGCGCGCCTTAAAGAGCCATCAGACCACCACGTATACCCAATAAGGCTGATGCCGATACGGAGCCGCGAAAACTTAACGGGTTGCCGAGCCTCCGGCTTGAAGTGCAGGAGTAGGAACGGGGTGGTTTTAGTCAGTAAACACTCCCTCCCGCCTCACCCAGGCGGGAGAAGTCAATCGATGATATTAAAAAAATGCTCATTATTTATTCAAGATTTAACTCGTCCACTTTAGGAAGGTCGATTTGTTTTGTGGACTCGAGAAATGTAAAAACCAGTTGACCACAGGATAAATTGATGAGTGCACCTCTTATCATTATTTACCTATCTATATCGTTCTGTAGTGATAATCAGATCAGCTAAATGAAAAGAAGTTAAGTAAAAGAAATATCGCTAAAAATGAACTGAAAATCAGTTTAAAGCAGTAAGTGAGCATACTTAATTAACTTTTGAAAATACGAATATCTACAGTTTTTATAACAAATTATACAAAAATGTAGTTTTTGGACCTTCACGCAAGTAACTAAGTAAAAAATTAAGTAATATACGTATGGATAATTTTAGTCGCGGAGAACCTAACGGGTTACCAGGGCTCCGGCTCGACGTGCAGGAGAAGGAACGGAGTGGTTTTTAGTCAGTAAGAGTCTGACACTCCCTCCCGCCTCACCCAGGCGGGAGAAGTCATTAGATGATTTCCCCCCTTAAAAAAAATGGATAATTTTAAGCAGTTTAAGGACCGATAGCGCTATGTGGTTTCTGCTTAGCCCTATGGGACAAAGGCAAAAAGTAGCAACCACGTTATCCACCCTAAGCTTTTAACCCTGAATGTAAGTACTTAAGATAAAGTAAAAAAATATGTCAGCTCACTATAAAATCCCTCGTAATATAATATAAAACCAGGCCATTGCTTACCTTGACCTATTTATGAGGCTGGGACTCAGTCGGACGACCGGGACCGGGAGGTTTTACCTCTCCAGCCAGATAATAACCTTTAAAGTTAACACAACGCTTATTATACGGAACTCAACCTTATTTGGAACATAATACAGTTTTGAAAAGTATTAGATTACAATTCGAATGGTGAAGGAAAACATCGTATAAAAATCTGAATTTGTAACAAAGTACTTACTCTATTTCAGGCTCATATATCTTATCTGTAATACCATTATATAACGATTAGTTCGTAACAATTCTTTACACGGATATGACAATTGTTCGAATAAGATAAATTGGACGCACTAATAAATTGCAACATGATTGTTAACAGAACAGACTGCCTCGTTGGCCGAGTGGTCGCAAGTGCGACTGCCGGGCAAGGGGTCTCGGGTTCGATTCCCGGGTCGGGCAAAGTATTATTGGGTTTTTTTTAATATTCTCAGTAGTCGCACGTAGTCTGGGATTGTGCCCGGTATATGGCAATAGGCTCACCCCCTATTACATGGGACTCATAACATAAATAGTGAAAAGTGGGTGTTACATTGTACAGTGGCCTTAGGTGCCGTAATGTACACCTCTGCCTACCCCTTCGGGGAATAAAAGGCGTGATTTTATTTTTCATATCTATTTACAATACCGATTTTATCACAATTATTATCACATATCTGTGTAAAGGTCATTATATAAAGAAAATCAGGCGTGATGATCATGTTTACCATTGCGTCAACTATCAATTCTCACTTATATGGCAATTGTGAGAACAAATAATGAATTTCAAAGATTATTTGGGAAGTATTTGTAAACTGAAGGATAACTGCATTGTAATTGTCAGTTAAGGTGATATCAGATGGTTCATTCGAATAAATATTTACCCCAGTGAATGTTTTATTTATCCTTACTAATATTATAAATCTGAAAGTGAGTTTGTTTGTTTGTTTGTTCCACCTTCACGCCGTAACTACTCATTGATAAATTGGAATTGGAATTGGAAAAATTGATATTCCCGAGGAAAAACAAAAGTATTGGTATAGATGGCGCTGTGTGTATTGGTATATGTGACATAGGCTACTTTTTATTCTTTTGTGAAGCGAGCGAAGCCGCGGGTAAAACCTAGTCTGGAATATGAATACAAAGAAATGAACGTTCATTTTTTTTTTAAATATGTCACCATGTGATGTCGTGCGCATCGAAATCAGTTTAATTTGTGATCATCAGCTCACTCTGTATGCAGATAGTTTATTTTTTGATCATTTGGAGTGGGAGTGAATGATTCAGAATGCTAAAATCCAAAATCGTTGGATCGGTTCACTAATGAATTCATTCTGTACTCTTGTTTCATTATCATGTTCAGACATATCATTTTAAATGAAAGATACCGAATGAAAGACAAAAATAAACCTTCTGAAATCACCTTTAATGTCCAACTTTCAGTGTCAAAACCAAGATAAAATCATTTGTTTACTTCGATTTCATGCATCAATTAATTCTTGATCCATGAAATTGTATTACAAACTCACAACAGTCCTTATAGCCATATCTTGCATTTTTACGACCAAATAAAATGCCTCCCATTGCAATTTCAAAATCTGATTTTATTTGTAAAGTATAAAAATATGTTTGTACCAAATGTTTATTCAACAACTGTACCATTCAAAATAAACTGTCATTAACCTGCAGTTTATAATAATGAGGTACAAATTACTGTCATATAAAAGAACTACGAATACAGTTCTACCACGAATTGACATTTTATTATATTAGTCGAGGCCATGCCATTGTGCATTGCTATTGTTGACCATATTTTGACGCGAAATAAAACTATCTATTTAACTATATGTACACGCTCCCTCAACACGTTTCATATACTTCCCAAAACTCACTGAATGAAAAAATCGTCGAATAGTTTTTCACTAATTCCTCATTGTTCAATGCCTCACACATCTTACAGTACTCATTGGTCTCCTTGAGCTTCGTCGTTCTGTGATACGAATAGTACTTTCTCCACCTGAAGAACTCGGCGTAAGCACTTGGTTCCTGAATCAAGCTATATATCAACTCAGCCAATTGTGGTACTCCCATATCCCTGGCGTTCAAATACGATCGGTCTGGCAGGAACCTGTGAACAATACATTTTAATATATTAACATCAAAGGTAAATTTTCCAGCTATTTACTTGAAGGTAGATTGATAGGACCTTGTAGGTGCATCATTAGGAGAATAATACCAAAAAAAGAACGTTTTTAACTTATAATTATTATATTTTTAAATTAGCATTTGTAGATCCAATATAACAAAAGATATTAACACAAATACACAATGGACATTGAACAATCATTACTATACCTGCTATAATTAGCACCTCCATAAACAATGGGCACTGCATCATTTTGTAGGGCATGCAACAACTTCTCCGTGACATAATCTTCACTGAAGGAATTTTCAAATGATAAATAAAAATAATAGTCCTTCGATATCATTGCAGCACATTCCTTTTCTTTATCACGAGGACAAACGTTCGATCCACATTCTCCATAAACATCAACATCTAAAGAATAGTTTTCTTGCAACTCCTCTCTAAGATGTATTACATAGTCTTCGCGGCGACTTCTTGAACGACAATTCGAGACAAACCATGCAACAGCCTTGCGTTTACCCCTCAGTTGCAGCTTGTAGGTTTCATCCACTGGATCCATATCCTTCCACGGTATCCAATGCATGTCTTTGTTAGGACCAATAATATTGCCCCTAGCATCTTTCACCACAATGTAGCCCCAACGAACGTCGGAATCCAATTTATACGTCCACGTCCAATTAAAATACGAATTGAAATTGTGAATACACAAGGGATAGTTCCCTGGAGATTCAGTGCTTCCAAATACGTACTTTTGATATGGCAACCGTTCTTTAGGTAATGATAGGTCGTCATATATTAACTCAGGCCCCGCGAACATTACCACGTCGTATGCTGTAACACTGCCCAGTTCACTTGCATCGGCACTAACATAACAATTAGTATATTCACACTCTCTTCCGATAAATCCAGTTTGTCCTAAACCCATGTGCGCAAACGGTATGTTTTCATGATTGGTCCACTGTAAAATATACTTCATTCCTGGTTTCTTAACATTAAACTGTTTACTTTTTAACAACGCACTTCGAGAAGACATATATTTTTTAAACATAGTTATGAAAATAAATGAAAACAATGCAAAAATTATTATTTTACTTGTGAATTTTCGCATTTTTTGCATTTATATATTTGTTATAGGTAATTTTGACAGGTTCACCGTTGAGCCGACCGCGACCGTTTGCTTGAGTTGAGTATGATCGTTCGTACCGCTCGTAAGTAGTGTTGGGATTTTATCCGATAAATACTTAATAAACTAGAGAAATACTTATTAAATATTCATTTTAGTGTAGTAAGAAACGCATTGGTTCGCTGCTTGGTCAAGAGATTAGATTTAACAATAACGTTCTAACATTGTATTTTGAAAATTCCGACGACCATTACTAGTAAATATTAGTAAAAAAGACACACAATTTGAAAAAACATATATAAATATCTATGATTTCGAATGAATGTCCGGTAAAACGAATAAAGTCAAAATTTTTATCCCCCGAGTATTTATACTCCGCTCATCACTAGTCGTAAGACGCTAATCACAACCTCTCGTCTCTTCAGTACTGACTGCCGACCGATACTACGTATAAAGGTTCAACAACTCCTAGTACTGCGATTTGTTTGTGTATCAAGTTATGAATCGACTAGTTCGTATTGTCAAACAGTTTGTAGGAGTGACATTTTGTTATCGTTTCGATTTCAGTGATGTATATTTTATACCGTTTTAACTGGAATTTTCTTACGCATATAATATTACAGGTATTGCATAGCTGCGTACTGAAAGGTTATTGTTAGTGTTACGTACATACTGCATTTTTTATTACTCTCCACGATATGTATCATAATAAAATACATTAACAGTCGTGCTAGAATCATTGTGATAAAAATACACTTGTGGTTAACCTACTTACCTATACATCCAAAATTCAGATGCAAGTAAAAATTAATAGTTCAGCGATTAATTAGATACTATATGTAGTACCTGGATAACCGAGCTTTGATCGGTGTTTTTTTTTAAACCTTTACAAAATTTTTTGAGAATGAATTCTAGATAAATCGATTTATCGCCCACGAAATACAAAATTTCAAGAAAATCGTTGGTGACCGACCGGTTTCCGAAATCGTTGATATATGTAAGTTAGGTGAAAGGAGTTAGGCAGAATATAATGTTCTAAAAATAATTTTTAGACTTGCCATCGTTTCACAATTCACAATTTTGTTTCGAATAGGTTTGAGATTTAGGTTATAAAAATATAAAAGTTATTTTTTTCTAAACCAATTATTAAAGTAATGTGAAACCAGTTATTAATTCTTTTTTGACAAATGACTGGTTTGAATAATCACCAAATTAACATTAAATTCAGCCCAAGTTGTAATGTACTTATTAGAATTAGATATGTGAAACAAATTGTCCTTGATTTTCTAATATCATAATATAATCGTGAAGGTGAGGCTACTGTGTATACAGGTGTGACACTCACCACAATAAACTGTTCCAATGCTACTAAATGTATTTTAATAGTGTACTTCATAAAGGGATTAACAATGACGAAACGATTTTAAAACAAATTTAAACTTATTGGTAGGTACATAAAGTCGAGGACCACGATAAGTATGTCCACCATCTTTCAAGTGAACATATTACCAAACCGATGACTAATTAACATCAACTTGATCCCTGTACATCTTTAAAATATTACTAAGTTATCTTTGTCAGTATACGTATACTTCTAATTATTGATTTAAAGAATCTTTAACTTCATTTTACATTACTTTTGGTATATTTTTGCTTGAAGCCGGGTCAATTGAATAATATAAATAGTAACGGTCACAGTAACTAACATGAATGTTACGCAATTAAACAAGAAAGTAAGTATTATATTGCATCAAATAAGCAACGTATGTAGTCAAGATTTAGGTTATCACAGTAAAAATATGAAACAGAGTACCAACACCTGTCTAAGACATGAATTTTGAGATTAAAAAAAAATATGTCAACATTTTACAACTACTTTCACACAATAAATTAGCAATCGTGCAACACAGTCATGGGTTTCATTCTCAGACGAAAATATACTTTATTGTAAACACAAATCAGTATTCCAATTTAGTACTGATAAAAAATCCTTATCCTTATCTTTACTAATATTATAAATCTGAAAGTGAGTTTGTTTGTTCCACCTTCACGCCGTAACTACTCAACCGATTGCTTTGAATTTTTGCAGACGTAAAGTTAGAAGTCCGGATTAAATAATAGGGTACTTTTTAACCCGGAAAAAATTGATATTCCCGAGGAAAAACAAAAGTATTGGTATAGATGGCGCTGTGTGTATTGGTATATGTCACATAGGCTACTTTTTATTCTTTGTGAAGCGAGCGAAGCCGCGGGTAAAAGCTGGTATTTTTATAAACGCACTCTTTTTTTTTAATAGAATGGTATAAGTATCCGTATCGTCGTTATCAGTGTCAATAATGAGACTTTATCTAAGTCCACTCAATCTACAAAATGTTTCGACTTCGTAATCTAGGTTAATTGTATGAGGCTTCGTTTTAAGAACATTTCAAATTATCTTTATTAGGTACAATACCGAGCACTTACGTCTTGTAATTTACGCTATTTTACTTTAATATTAAACATCTTCATAGCAAGACTGTTTTCATTGATATTCTCTTGCAGAAACTATACATTTTCCAGTATAATAAACTGTCAGTCATCCAGCTTACGGCCTATTTAATAGACGCTTATAATTCATTTCCCATGTGCCAATTATATCAAAATCAAATTAGTAGTTTATATGTGAAAGAAAAACAAAAGTAGGTTCATATTATTTACGTACCTTGATACATTCTCCATTCTCATGTAAAATGAGGGAGGAAGTAAAACTGCCTCGTCGGCCGAGTGGTCGCAAGTGCGATTGAGCAAGGGGTCCCAGGTCGGAAATACATTACTGGGTTTATTAAATAAATACTCAGTTGTAGCACAGAGTTTGAAATTGTGCCCGGTATATGGCAATAGGTTCACCCCCTATTACATGGAACTCATACGATAAATAGTGGTGAAGAGAAGGTGTTACATACTACAGTGGTATTAAGTGCTGCAATGTGCCACTCTGTCTATCCCTTCAGGGATAAAAGGCGTGATGTTATGGGAGGAAGAAGAATTTTTTGAAAACGATGACATCGCTCATTAAATATCTCAATGATTTCCATGGGACTAGTCATTTGAAACTCATTTGTATTAAGCTAAAAACTGTGTTTCACGTTTCATTCTGTAATCCAAAGTTATCAGTAAATAATGAAGTCGGTAAAAACTTATCTGTGAGCCAACGCACGAACTATGTGATAACAATTTCTGTATCAATATAGTTATCGATCGGATCTGGTAAATAGGTACCATGTTTTTTATTAATAGATATTGTATAGTACTTTCCTGGATTGCCACATAAAATGTAAACTGTAGCAAGCGAAATATAATCAAGAAGTATGTTTAATAAGCTTACTTACTTAAATGTGGTACAAGGACCCAATATTCAGCACCGGCCAGGCGGTGTCCACCAATTTTTGAAGTCTTGATAAATCGTTGTATTTTTTACCATTTCTTCGTTATTCAATTGAGTGCAAAATAAACAATATGGTAAAGTATGCACGCTTTCATGCTGCCCATGATACGTGTAATGATTTTTCCATTTAAAATATTCTGCATATTTTTCCGGATCATTAATCAACTCGTTCATTTTTGCTGCTAATTCCTCAATTGACATCTTTCTAGCATCTAAGTAAATGCCATCTGGCATAAACCTGAAAACGTACATAATTGTTTATTAGAACATAACTGCCTCGTGAAACGAAAAGCGATTAATTGTACCTATGATTCATTTATTTAATACCTTGTATAGTTAGCTCCACCGTAGACTATAGGTACAGCATTAAAATTTAATGCGCGCACTAATTTCTCCGTAACGTAGTCTTCGCTAAATGAATTTTCAAACGACAAATAAAAGTAATAGTCCTTTTTAATTAAATTATCACAATTTTCATCATTGTCACGTGAACATGAGAATTGTCCACAGGAACCGAATACATCAACACTTAAGTTGTATTTATTTTGCAATTCTTCGTGAAGTTTTTTAGCAACAGTCGATCTTCGGCTTCTGCTGTAACAGTTTGATACGAACCAAGCTGCAGCTTTTGTCTTAGTCCTTAAGTTTTGTTTAAAATCTTCACTGACTGGTTCCATGTCTTCCAACTTTAACCAATGCATCTCCTTGTTCGGACCAACGATATTTTTATTTTTATCTCTGATGACCATATATCCCCACCGTATTTCAGAATCTAGTTTATAAGTCCATGTCCAATTGAAAAATCCGTTCAATAAATTAGAACAGGCTGGATAGTTATCTGAAGATTCAATAGATGCAAACGTATACTTTTGATGTGGGGATCTGTTCTGTGGCAGTTGGTTCTTGTTATAACGAACTACTTCAGGCCCAGCAAAAGCTATGACATCAAACTTTGTGTAATCACCGAGGTAATTTCGATCTGCTGTGACAAAACAGTTGGTGAATGGACATCCTCTGCTAATAAATCCTTCATGGCCCTTCCCCATATAAACGAAGGGAACATTATGTGGTAATGTCCATTGCAATATATATTTAATATTGTCTTTACTTGTCACATTTTCACGCACTGCACTATTTACTACTGTTTGTAATTCAACAACACTTTTTCTACTTGAAACTCTTTCATGGTTTGAAATAATTTGATGGCTGTCCTTAACTGTTTTGGCGGCGTTGTATAAGAGTAGTAAAATAATCATTACAGCTATGAAAAATATAGCTTTCTTTGTGCACCAAGCCCTCATGGTTACGATTATTTTTATAAACTATGTATCGACACCGTGCGGTGTGCTACCTCTGATTATGAGCGACTGCCAATGAAGAGCTGTAGTATGTGTGTCACACACCTAATCGTAATTGTTTATCAGCGCGTCTAGTGTATATATGTATGTAGCGATTTTCTGAGTACATCAGGAATGTACTAACAACAATCCATACTATACTATAATATTATAAAGACTGTGTATGTTTGTTTATTTCTTCAGCCTTCATGGCAACGAATAACGAAAATAAAAAACGGCCCGACGATTTGACGTGATGCTTATGGGGAGATCGTTAAAGAGATAAGAGAGCAATATAAGTAGGCTAATTTTTGTCTCATAACTCCCACTTCTCCAAAATGGGGGGTAGAAGTTTATATGGATCACCGCGTTATTTTCAAGGCAGAAATCTAAAAATTGGTATGCGGTCTATTTGTGACTAACAAAACATAGTACATCATTATTTTTGTAAATCTGCCCCCTAACCTAATACCTTACTCGTTAAAAGAGCGCGAGCGAAGCCGCGGACAAAAGCCAGCAAATAATATTTCCAATTAATGACCTGCTTAGGTATTCGTTTTTTGTTTTCAATCATTATTATACTTAGGTATTATTTACAATTTATCCTAAAGGAAAACGGATGTTTTAGCTTATATAAAATATTTTAGTTTAATTAGGGAACAAAAACGGTAAACTTCCTAGACTTGTGGCAAATTTTGGACTTTTTAATTAGTCTTTTCCAAGGTTAATTCCAATGCTGTGTAAAAAATCTCATTAAAATCAATTCACAACACATCATATTTATTATGAAATGTTGTTCATTTTCGTGATTTCAAAAACATAATGAACCATCCCACAGGGATATTACCCGTATAGTAAAAATTCTCGTTAGGTTTCAGTGATTAAAACTTTATTTGAATTTCAACCAAATGGGTACAGTGGTTGAAAACTCTCAGGCGTCATTTTCCGAGTCTCAAACTATCATCGTACTGATACTAATTCCACTCAAATAAGTCCAATAGTTTAAAAAACAGAGACACCCAGAACTTTAAAGCAGTTCCCGTTTCCGTGTGATTTTCGGCATGCGAACTTATATTTGACCGAACCATGATTCCGCACGAATGGGCCGACTTGATTGGAGTGAGAAAACAGATGTTGAACAACACTCGCGTTGTCTCTTGTCGAGTGCGTGAGGTTACCATAGGTCCAATTATCCCCCCCCCCCCCCCAATCGCCCTAATCCTTGAATGTCCAACAATCCTCAAATTCCTAAAAAAGGTGATCCGTATGACCGTTTACCAGAATATCTCATTAAAGAAAATTACTTCAGATCATAAACTACCCATTTTTAATTTCATTCCGGTCCCTTCAGGCGTTTTGCTGACTGAGTAACAAACATACACCCAAACACAAACTCACAAACACATAAACTAACATACTTTCGCATTTATTATGTAATAAATGCTATGTAATTTCTATGTAGAAAGAAAGAAAGAAAAGAAAGAAAAATAATTTATAACAGTACCAGGCACGATGCAGCTTAAATAAAGCTTATATCAGTTCAAGCTAATTTGAACCGCATCGGCCCAACAGGTACAGCGTAAAGTCCACTGCGGGCAACCCACAGATATCTGTGGGGCAACCCAACATCCGACAAACTTACGTTTGCGTTTGGTACACTAACTGTGCCTAGGGATTGAGTCGCACAATTAAGTTTGTTTTTTCGTGTATATGCATTTTCGGGATAAAAAGTACACAGTGGTGTGCCCAGGATATTAAAATATAATCATACCAAGTTTCATCGTAATGTAACGGGTAGTTTTTTCGTGATGCGTGACAAACAGACATACATTTTATCAATCATATTTTTGGGTTAATTATATATACAGTAACACTTATTTTATATTTTCAATATACAGAATTTACACAGTTTTATTATAAGTAATTATGTGTATATACATAGACTGCCTCGTTGGCCGAGTGGTCGCAAGTGCGACTGCCGGGCAGGGGGTCTCTGGTTCGATTCCCGGGTCGGGTAAACTATTACTGGGTTTTTTAAATAAATCTCAGTAGTAGCACGGAGTTTGGAAATGTGCCCGGTATATGGCAATAGGCTCCCCCTATTACATGGTACTTATAACATAAATAGTGAAAAGTGGGTGTTACATTGTACAGTGGCATAATGTGCACCTCTGCCTACCCCTTCGGGAATAAAGGGCGTGATGTTATGTGTATATAGATTTTTACATTATTGTTTTGCGTTGGGAATTTCTACCTGTATTAGTTCTAGTGCAAATGCTAGGATAAACCATTGTAACACATATTTTACAATCAGCTACTTCTGCGCTGTGTCACTCGCTCTGCTCGGCTCCTAATAATCGTAACGTGATGTTTTATAGCCCAACTAACCTTCCTCGATAAATGGACTGTCAAACACAAAAATAATTATTCGATTCGGACCAGAAGTTTTGGAGATTAACGCGTTCAAACAAACAAACATATTTTTCAGCTTTATGTATTGCCATACTCCGTGAATAATCCCAGATTCCTTACTTTTATTGCAATTATAAAAACCAGAACAAAATCCAATAATTCTTTCTTCGCCCTGAGGCCTGACCCTACCACTCACGCAATCAACGGCGCTATGTAGTCGAAATAGTGTTTAGCGCCATCTATCGGAGTATGGTCGAACTTTTCTGAGTAAATGGAGCCTAAAGATACAGAAAAAGTGGAGCAACAAAACCGTTGTTGGTTTGCTTTTTTTATAAGAAATAAAATCTTGAAGCGGTTATATACATAGGTACATAATAATATATATCACAATCGCATTGTAAATCACACATACGATTTCACCAAGCGAGAATCGGACCCGTTAAGCCTTGCCCAGCTGCCCTGCGGCAGAGATTGGACGACAGATAACATAACTATGAAGTTGATTGGGGAAGTTGCATTATTGCATATCGTTGTTAATATAATTAGGTATGATTTTTTTTCTTTAAAAAAAACGTTGCCCTACACTAGGATTTTCTCCTGTATCGTGGGTGCATTTACAAACATACAAATTCACGTACACATGACACCTAGACCCGGAACAACAATTTGTAGATCACACAAAGTGATGTTCCGTGCGGGAATCGAACCCGCGACACGTTGCACGGCAGCCGGTTGCTTAGCCGCCGCACCAACCGTGCAGTCACTGTGGTTATCAAGGTAGATAAATTCTTTATGTACATAGCTATTTTTTTACCGAACATCATTTGTGTTTTCCAATGCTCAATAAGCATTAGCCCAATAGCGTCATTGTTTTATTCAAAAAGCTAACAAAAATACCTAAAGCACATGTGTGGTACCTGATACATCCGCGATAAGATAACAATGCTGATAAAAATGATTTAACTGTAATTTTTATTTATCCTGTCATCAGGATGTGTCATAAGTATGTGAATATTTATACTGATAAGGAAAGATGTTTTCATGAAAATATTATTTCCTGGTAAGAAGATCGGCGAAAGCATCTTAATAATAATAATTATAAATGGTTGTTGCAAATATCACTTGTCACACAGTAAATTCGTCACAATTCTGATTTATGGATCTTGTAATTTTCTAAAATAAAAGGTAAAAAAAATGAAAAAGAAATCTGCTTGCTTGAAATTTAGGTCATAAGGATAGCAGAAAAATTCAACCATTATAATTAAAATAATCAAAATTAATACATGTCAAAATTAATCAATTACGTTGTCCTTCAGGTTTTTTCGTGGAAATTCGTGGAATATCTCCCTGTTTCGACCTACTGTGTCAATCGTCTGGCTGCAATATTCCACGAATTGCAGCCAGACGATTGACACATAAACAATCTCACCTGATACGCAGTAGTTGCAATGGGCCGTTCCTCTCGTACCTTTGAGGGGCGTGGTCTTCCTATTCCAGGTCCATTTTCTGTTATAAATAACTAGCTACTTACACGCGGTTTCATGCGCTCTGCTCGGCTCGGCTCCTATTAGGTAGTCATAGCGTGATGTTTTATAGCCTTCGTCTATAATGATTCAAATCGGACTAGTAGTTCCTGAAATTAGCTGGTTCAAACCAACAAAAAAACATAGAAACGCTTCAGCTTTATGTAATCACTAGCTGTTGCCCGTGACTTCGTCCGCATATAATAATGACTTATGGCAGAATTTAAGCTTTTGAATTAGTCTTTATCAAGGGATATTCTACGGTAACGAATGCCCTATACTACCTCTAGTATAGGGCTCCCCTCCCGTAGATGATAGCGTGATGAGACGTAGCTTATATGTTGACCCGACTTGTTAGTAATATTCAGGCAAAATTTGAAGTGCATCTATGCAGTAGTTTTTGACATCATCCCGGATATAAATACAGCATACAGACAAACAGATAAACAAACAAAAATTCTAAAAAACATATTTTTGTCTTCAGTATGGATTGTAGGTCACGCTCGACGAAACACAACACAAGCATTGTTTAACGTCGGTCTTCTGTTCGGCCGTGGTATCACTCCGGTCGAGCCAGCCTGTTCGTGCCGAAGCCTTGCTCACCCACAGTTACTAAAAATCCCATTTTTTTTTTAAGCACGGAAGATCATCGAATAACTTTTCCCGCCGGGTGAGACGGGAGTGAGTGTCAGACTCTTACTGACTAAAAACCACCCCGCTCCTACTCCTGCACTTCGAGCCGGAGCCCCGGTAACCCGTTAGGTTCCCCGCGGCAAAATCCCATATAATGGGGTCTTCGCTTTGTCCAAATAGGTAACAAAAATAGGGCGCATGCTTAATGATGCATTATACTTCCGCGATGAAACAATATTACTGATAATAATTAATTATTATAACAGTAATTTTGAATTGAATTATCATCTTCAATCAATATGTACCTACTTACTGATAACACAGGATTATTCAAATTACTAATTATAGTACCTAATATGAATTATACATTATTAATTTATTATGTACCGTAGCACCATCATGCCTTTTATTCCCACTTTTTGCTTTGATTTTTTGTTAAGAGTCTCGTATAATAAGGTAATATAACCAATATTTTTACTAACCTGAGAATCGAACCCAAGACTTTCAATTTATTGCTTAAGCGTTGGGATGTCGCGGAGAACCTAACGGGTAACCGGGGCTCCGGCTCGAAGCGCAGGAGAAGGAACGGGGTGGTTTTTAGTCAGTAAGAGTCTGACACTCCCTTCCGCCTCACCCAGGCTGGAGCAGTCATTCGATGATTTACTCCCTTAAGAAAAAAAAATATAATCTGGAATAACATTAACTATATTGTATCGCATAGGAACGAAACCCAGGGGTTTCTGGACAGAAGCTGGAAAAACCTAGTGTTAATATGAGTAACTAAAATATAGATTCAAAGCATGATTGATACATTTTTATTTGATTAATTAAAAATTCCAACCCGCCTTGAGCAAAAGCAGTAATTACTCATCTTCTCTGTGTGAGAAGAGGCCTTAGAACATTATTAGGCACTTATAGGCTGTTGATGTGATGTGAAGAATGTTTAGAAATTATTATTTTTTATGAAAAAATAAATAATTGATGATCAATTATTTTGTGTGGTAGGTATACATATACTTGTAATTCTTTGGCGAAGAATAAAAACATACCCAAGTAAATTAATTTCGTAATTTTATGTAGGTTAGCCTAACTTTGTATTTAAGGAAGTATTAGTGTTTAACTTGACATTTCTCGGGGCTCCACCACATTCCAATGTCTTCGTAAATTGTTGTTTTTGACATTTCTTTTTCATTATTGATTGCCTCGCACAATTTGCAGTAAGGATCCGTGGTTACTGAAGCCACTACGTCCCGGTAACTGTAATGGTTATGCCATTTGAAGTAGTCGTAGTATAACTCCTTGTTCTGTATAATATCCACCATCTTCTTGGCCAGTTCTTTTATTGTCAATGTGTTTGCAGACAAATATATTCCATCGGGCATGAATCTGAAATTAAATAAAACGTAATTAATACTTTATATTGCATAATAGACGTTTTCTTGAACAACATTACAGTTCCTTGTCGTGATTATTAGCCGCACTATATCTTTTATCAAAAAATTTAAAATAAGAGCAGTACCTATTTATATTTATTAGGTTAGATGATCTGTCTGTTCCTTTATCGGTTTATCCTCAAAAAAAGAACATGTTCCTTTTACATATATACGCCTAATATTCTGAGGTTACCATTTTATTATCTACTAGCTTCTGCCAATGATTTCGTCCACGTTCCCAGGGGTACAAACTAGCCTATGTTACTACAGACAATAAGTTACCTCTGTTCCAAATTTCATCCCGGTCTCTTCAGCCGTTTTGATGCGACGATGCGACTGAGTAACAAACATACATACACTCGAACATACAAACTCGCATGTTTCTATACATTTATAATATCGCCTCAAGCTATATAATTTCAACTACCGATCCTACTGTTACACTGCGGGCAACCTAACATTCGACAAACAAATATTTGTGTTTGTTTTTTTTTTATTTAGGAAACAAACAGTCACATAAAAATAGCTTACATAAGAAAACAATAGGTTCAAAAAGACTTCGAGTTCCATACAACTTTAAAGTGTAGTATAAGTACCTACCCACAATTTACTTTACCTACACAGAATACATAGGTAAGGAACACATGCAGTCAAACATAAGTCACAATATTTTACGTGGTCTTTAAGAGTTGGTTGCGCAGTTTCATTTTATAAGATGCTAAACTGTGGTTAAGCATCGGTGTGGTTGTGCGGTGTGTGGAATTTGGTACAGTAACTGTGTCTAGAAATTAAGTTTACTTTTTACCGTATATACTTTTTAGAGATAAAATGTACCCAGTGTTGTACCAAGGATATTGAAGTATAATCATACCAAGTTTCATCGTTATTGGACCGAAATTATTTGCGTGATGCGTGAACATACAGACAGACAGATAAAAAATTTTAGAATCACATTTTTGGGTTTGTTGTCTATCTAGTAACACTACCTACTTATTTTTAATGTACAAAATTTACACTTCTACAGTTTTATTACATGTGTAGATAATAATTTAATATAAATAAAATAAAATAAAATGCCCTTTATTGCACTAATATCAATTTTAGTAAAAAAAACTTATTTAGATAAATAATTTCAAAATAAAAAAATGTTAATGATGTTATGTTCTGGTTTGTCTTCGCTATTCACAATGGTCGCCTCAACGGTTTTTTTTTTAAGGGGGGAAATCATCGAATCAGGCGGGAGCCTGGGTGAGGCGGGAGGGAGTGTCAGACTCTTACTGACTAAAAACCACTCCGTTCCTTCTCCTGCACGTCGAGCCGGAGCCACGGTTACCCGTTAGGTTCTCCGCGACATAGGTATAACGCGACGCCTCAACGGTGTAGGCCTCCCTAAATCGCCACACGCTTTCCTACTGCGCGTTTTTGTATCCAGTCTGGTCCACAAGGTTGGGTAAAAAATATCTGGCCAGCTCTTTCTGTCTCCCTTGCTTTCTTTTACCGTCCAATAGAACTATTCTGTACTACCCGCTTAGTCCATCTTGTACACTCCAATCTACACAGATGTCGCGCCCAGTTCCACTGCAGCAATGTTATTCTTTGGTTTACATCTGTTAGCGTCGTTTCGCTTTGTATTATTTCTTTTTTATTTTATTTGACCTTCTAATGCCCAACACGCTTCTTTCTACTTTTCTCTGACATATGGTGGTCTTTTCTTCATCTACCTATATCAATTCTCAATGACCACGTTTGGTATGAGTATATTAATCAGGGCAAAAAAAATAGGAAATTACGTCAAACGCATGCCTTATTTGTTTTTTTAAATTTTGGAAATACCGCGGGCGTTTATTACGAAACATATAACGCATTGAAACAAATAAGGAATCGCTCAGGAATTAATTGAACATCAAGCCCTAACCAGTCGCCAATCAAGAATTAACCCTTTGAATACCGTCATTATAGACACAATTAAAGAACAATAGGTTGCGGTCAACGGTGTCCTCGCGGTGTTTGACAGTTTAAAAAATAAGTAGGTAGATATAAATAATTTACATAATTATAATAAGTAACGCACCTCGTGTAATTCGCGCCACCATACACCACAGGTACAGCGTAATTGTCGAGTGCATTCAACAATTTCTCCGTCACGTAGTCTTCCGAGAACGAATTCTCAAAAGACAAGTAAAAATAGTAATCAGTCCGCAATTTGCGCAAGCATTCTTCCGTTTTGGATCTTGGACACCTCATGGTTCCACAAGAACCATATATGTCCAACCGCATACCATACGTCTGTAGTTCACTTTGAAGCTTTTTGGCAACCGAGTCTCGTCCACTTGGTGCTTTACAGTTCGATACGAACCACGCAGCTGCCGTCGTCTTGCCATCCAATATTTTCTTCAACGTGTCATTAATTGGCAACATGTCCTCCACCTTCATCCAATGCATTTCTTCTTTAGGTCCTATCACATTACCATCCTTATCCCACACAGACATGTAAGCATAGTTTCGATCAGAGTTCAATTTGTAAGTCCATGTCCAATTGAAAAAGTTCAGGAATCTCTCATTACAGATTGGATAATATGCTGCGGACTCCATACTTGCGAATATATATTTCTGGTGTGGTTTACGTGGCTGAGGTAACTCCCTCACACCCTTTTGTACAAATTCTGGAGCATGAAACACTATCGCATCGAACTCTGTTATGTCTTCCAACAAATTTCTGTTTCCCGTCACAAAACAGTTCGTAACCGGGCATGATCTCTCAATGAATGCGTTTCTAGCTACTCGTAAATTAAAAATTGGATCAGTCTTAAGTGATGTCCAAACTAGAATATATTTTAATGAAATATTTAATTGTTTTAAATTCTGAAAGTCTGTCACTTCCTCATAATAGTTCATCAGATCATAAAAAAATGTGAACAAAATAACCGTAAAAATAATCAGCAAACCGATAAAATATTTTCGAATCACCATCTTTTTATTATAATACTAACTTAACACACTTTAATTACACTCACACTGGTAAAAAAGTTTTTATTCACTATAACAAAATTAATAATTTAATAAAGGGAAATAAAACTATTTGTGTAACTTACAAATAAATAAAGAATGAACAGTTACGATATGACAGACAACTCGCCAGCGTTTGGTTTCTGGGGCGAGCTAGCGTGCTTCAACTGGTGACGCACTGGTTATCTATACTGTCTCGTATCATATCGAACGTATACGAACCGATCAGGTTGATAATAATTATTTGAAGATAATAACTACATGTGTACAAAATGTGTGAAGTCGAAACTATATGACTGTGTTTGATGACAGTATGGGTACTGCATTAATTCAGCTGAAAAATTCATTTTTCTATTTTATAGTAAAAAGTTTGGAAGTGAAGAATTGAGGATACCTGGGTAACAGAATTAAATTGTGGGAGGAAATCACGTGCCCAACCAACTAACTTGGGAACTAAATTATTTAATCGCAACCATCCTAGCGTTGTTCATTGAAATATCTAATAAAGAATAAAGAATAATGGGTAATTTTGTATGGAACCCGTACTCACTTTGTAACATTTTAGACTAGGTGTAATTTAGAAGAGGCCTAATTGAGTGACTCGAAAATAAGTGAACGAATGAATGAATGAAAGACCGAAGTTATAATAACTTCTTTGTAACATTTTTAATTGCCAATAATCGCACATTTTCTGCTTTTTGGTCTAAATAAATAGGTAACCAGTCATTTTTCTGTCTTTAGAGAGCGATATAAAGAGTGAACAAAAAGAGACCATGTACTCGATGATCAAAAGCTATACTAACCTCATTTATGTTAATCCGTGCTATCACATATCCTGTGAAGCCTGGATTGTTTTCTAAATAAGTTCGCGTCAATATGCCGGTTTCGGTCACGAATTACTGATCTTGTACATGTAACACACTGTATACGGCGTTCACCTTCCATTATTTTGAAGCAGATGAGTAATAATAATCCAATCGTTAAGTAATACACTAAAGTACGTTGTAAAAACAGAGGTTGTAAATAAAAGTAAGAATAAAATAAACTTAGATATCCGCGCGCGCTTAAAATCAGTTCCTAACAGGTACTAACTGCTGACGACACATCGACGCTAGCACAAAATAGTTCGAACTACCCACCTAATGGATAAAACCAAAAAACCATCTATGTTCTCTAAGACGTGCTACATGGCCGGCCCATTTCCAATTTTAAATTTTGGCTGTGTTGTGTCTTGGTTTGTTTTTTTTTTTATATTTAACATACTGCGTTCCATTGCTTGCTGGCATGTGTTTATTTTATTCATTGCTTTATTAGTAAGCTTCCATGTTTGACAAGCATATGTCAGACACGGAATGAGACAGGACTCCATGACTTTTTTCTTCAATTCGATAGGCATTTCGCTTTTAACCCTTTGAGTATTATCCGTCATTATAGACACAATTAACTCGTCGAGTACCGGTTTTATAGACACAATTAAAGAACAATAGGTCGCGGTCACCGGTGACCGCTTGGTGTTTGACAGTTTAAAGAACAATAGGTTGACCGCAACCTATTGTTCTTTAACTCGTCGAGTACCGGTTTTATAGACACAATTAAAGAACAATAGGTCGCGGTCACCGGTGACCGCTTGGTGTTTGACAGTTTAATTATGTGGTGCGGACACCGGTGACCGCACCGGTGTCCTCGCGGTGTTTGACAGTTTAAATATTTCCTTATAACTCCAGTACTTTTTCCAAGTTTGCTTCACCCTTCTTTCCACTTTCAGTTCGTTGTTTTCATTGTAAAATCTAATTTGTTTTCCTAGATATGGTTATGGTGTATGGGTATGATATAGTTGGCTAATGATTCACTTTCTATTGTTATTTTTGGTTTTTCGAAGTTGGTCATGACTTTGGTCTTTGTAATTAATTTCGCGTATTCCATATGCTTTCGTGAGAGATTGTATGAAAAGCTTTTTTGGTAACCAATAAATATGATATACAGAGGTCTCTGCTGTTCTTGATATTTTCAGTTCCAATGTGGGTATGTGGTCAGTAGTGGAAAAATTTCTCCTAAATCCTGTTTGTTCAATAGGTTTCCTCTAGTGTTCTACTAATTCTTTGATTTATTATTGTAGAAAAAAGGATATAAAACTAGGTAGTAGGCGTATTGGTCGGTAGTTGTTGATGTCCTTTCTTGTAAAGCAAGATAATATTAGACTTTGACCATTGCGCATTATTGAGAAGGTGTGACACCAGTTTCAAAGATCAAATTAAATAATTTGGTTAGTGGAGCAGCTAGTATAAAGCAGGCGGTTTTTATAGCGTCATTAGTGGCATGATCTGATCCTAGGCTTTTGTCTGATTTTAGTCTATTTATTGTTTCACTTATTTCTGTGCATTCTATTGATTCTATGTGGGATTTTTGCTCTTCAATATCGGTGTTGTCATTTTCAAAGTCGTTCTTGTCTCTTGCTATATCCAGTTTACTATAATTTATAGTTTTTTTTATAAAAAATTGTAGCAATGTTTATTATGTCTTTGCGGTAATAAGCAGTGTCTCCCGACTCCTTTAAACAATCAATCTATGCTTTTTCGATAATATAAAACCTTGCTGTTGGTTCTGAGTGAATTTGACTCAGTCTCCTTTGAGTTCTAAGTTCAACCTTGTACGGCGTCGCTCCATTTGTTTTGTAAACTAATAAACCGTACAATAGCCACTAAGATAATCACGAGGTGGTGAAAATTTGCATTTTCTTTCTGAAACAAGCTATCGTTTCGGAGATCTATGTCAGCTAAGGCACTGCGCAAACGTAGGCCCTTTTTGTTTTTAGTTAAAGACAATGAACACTTTTTAATTCTTGAAAATCAAATATTCATCGGTAGCTTTTGGCGGTTAAGAATTTGAGGATTGCGGATTCGGGAATTGGGGACATTGGAGAGGGGTCATTGGATGTCTACTCTCCAGTAACCTCACTCCCACGACGAAACATGTCGCTAGCGTTATTTCACGCGGATTTTTTTGTGAGGCCTTACGGCCTAAAAATCAGGTTGAGCATGGCTCGCTCACACTTACAAACTGAATAATTGAATAAACAACTATTTTGATGAAAGAAAATGAATATTTAAACTACCACGCCTTTGAATGGCCGACCAGGCACACTTGGCCGTGTTTCATTTAATATTACAATAATTATGCAACTGTGTCACGATATAGTCCATTATGTCGAGTACAATGCAACTTACGAGTTTTGCATAACATCTCACCCATTTTGACTCAAAATGCTTGGCAAAGAATCTTTTTGACAATAATATTTTCAGTCATAAATATACAATACGAATGCATAATATACCTTAGGTCCATGAACGTCTAATAGGTTGGGATGTTGAGCATTAGGTCAGAATAGCCAACATGCCAGGGTCGTGGGTCGCTAGGCGCGGCATGGCGCAGAAGTTGCAGTTAGAACAGGATGCTTTCTAATATGCAGGTACTCCCTCTTGCCTCATTCAGGACGGGAGGAGTTCTTTGATAATTTTCCACCCACACAAGAAAGGTCAGGGGTCTTAATCTTGAATCCAACTCCGATCGATCGACATTGGTTTTGTGAAATTTCGTACTCTAGAGTTACAACACTAGCGCCTATTGAATATGTATTGCGTGGATATTGAATCAACTAAATGGTATTGAGTTTATATTCCGTACTCTAAATGCTATTTAAACAGCTACGATAGGGCTTGTATAGTTTTGACATTGAATAATTATTAAAATTTTATTGGATTCAAATTGTATTGACATTGAGATTGGTTTCAAGAGTAATAAGCACCCAGATTGTCTAACGCCTTTCAATTACCGACTTCAAAAAAGGAGGAGGTTCTATGTTGCAATGATTGTTTTTATTTTATTTGTTCACCTATATACATACTCCGCCATGAGTACTAATAATAGTTACATTTATACTTTTTGATTGGTTTTAGTTTTTTACAATACAATAATGTCGAGCTAAAAAGAAAACAATATTTCGATCAACAAGGTGAGCGAACTTATTCTTACTATTACCGTTTTACGGAAGTGCCCAAAGAAGACTAATTTCAACATCTACATTTGCCAAAAACTATAGAAACATGTAATAATAGTGAAATAAATCGCAGTGAAGGGATTCAATCAATCTATCTCACGTTGACGGCACGACATGTGAAAAATATTGCCCATTTTATCACGGATTATGGAAAGTGGGCAACGGTATGCAATCAGGCACGTCTGCCGACCATATTGTTACGTTGTTCGCCTGAATATATAGCATTTTGATTACCTAATGTGTATTCGATGTTTGCCCAAAAATAAATAAATTGCTTGCTGATGTTTTACAATGAAATTGAAATGAATTAACAACCAGGTCAACCTATCCCAAAGGGTAAAAGGTCTATGGAAACCTTAAGGGGGAGACTTACTCCATGTGTCAATGTTTTCATGGAAAGTCAAAACTAATCTGTATTATAACTTTCGTGAAACATACTAAATAAATTATTATGTTTTCGACTTACTCACGTAATAATTTGACGAGGAACTCGACTAGTTTCAAGCCATGCTAGAGGCTCATATTCATGAGCAGCATTTTGCGACCCGCGACGCGGCGACTGTCACGCTGCTACTGATGCTTTCTAGCATGGCTTGAAACTAGTCGAGTTCCTCGTCAAATTATTACGTGGGTAAGCCGAAAACATAATAATTTATCAAAACTAATCTATTATCGGAGTTTCACAGAAAAACGTAGGTTGACTTGCTTACGTATAAATACTCTATGGATGTCTGTATAGTGTAAATACCATAAACAAACCTTTCCATAACTTCAAAATCTTGACTTAAAATCATAGATATTACAATGAAGAAGTGAAAAAAATAAGAACGTCACCTAACAATTTCCATCATTTAATATGTGCTTTTGAATTCAAATAAAAATTTAACAAAACCTTAACATACTATGCGCCCTGTTTTCGTTTACAAAAAATACTCACAATATTTTAAAAATGTGAAAAGAATCGCTTGGTAATTTTATGTTTTGCATACTTTGCAACTTAGAATGATTACAAGATAATTTTATATTGTTTATGTCGTTCCAGGTATATTTATTACACATTCTAACAAAAAACAACAGCACACCAAATCTCAAATGAGTACAGTAGCATCGAATGTTACATGGATGACATAGTGGACTATTTCGAAGAGTTCATCAAAAAGTCCCTGGTCGTCATTTCCCTGGGACTAGGGACGCTTATCTTGATGATCATGTACGTGTTCAAAATGTTAGCCGATAGACCAAACGGCCCACGCGCCCTCTGTAATGCAGATCCCGAACTTAACCGGAGCAAAGGTAACCGTGCACTACTTTCGTACTTAGGTTTATAATAAGTTTCTATCTAGAAATACTCTATTGTTATTTCCCGATATATTTTTCCAACTTTGGCTTAAGTTATGTCTGCTTGTGGCTACGACGATAGTTGCCGGATCAAGACGTGGAACAGGATCCAAAATATAAATAAGATTAGAAATTTAGGAACAGCAAAATTTAACTTTATTCTTACAACAGTAGAGTGGTTTTCAACTAAATTCTAAGGTTTTTGTTAGTAAAATGGAATAATAATAATTTTCTATATCTCTAATAAATATGAAATTATAAAAAAAATTAATATCATTTTTCGAATTTTCGTACCGACTAATGAGGAAGTATTAGCTTAATATAATGATGACCAATATTATTTATGTAGCAACACATTAATTTAGATCATTTTTTATACATTGCAGAAAATTACACTAACTATATCTGTTACTTACCACTTTAATTTACTTACACTTTATCAATGCCACTTGCTCAATCACTTATTGAGAAATGTATTGTATAAGTATCTAGAGTGCATTTATCGAAGTAATTAGTCGACAAACTTATATCTAGTAAACTTGATGATCTAAGTAACAAAGGCACAATTTAAGGTACATTGTGTAAACTAGGATATCATAGAGGTAATTAGTTTGATCCCAAGTAACTCTAGTTATAGTTATAACCACAGAACATATAAAGGTTTATATTTTCCTACACTACACTTCCTATATAATGACTCAGTTCCCTACACTAACGATTTATTGATCCAAAATATTTCCTATTTCAGCTTCAGTCCTATCTGAAGGCAAACGCTCTCACACGCGTTGCAGATCCTGCAATTCAATTAATTCAGAACCGAAGAATGTAAATTCCTGTATATCTAATCCAGATAAATCGAGTTCACTGTGTTCGAATCCAAATAAATCGAGTTCAGTTTGTTCGAATCCGGATAAATCGAGTTCAGTTTATTCAAATCCGAATAAATCTTGTTCGGTTTGTTCGAATACGAATAAGTCGAGTATAGAGAGTTCGAATGCGAATAAAACAAGTTCAGCTTGCTCGAATACGAATAAAACAAGTTCAGTTTGCTCGAATACGAATAAAACGAGTTCAGCTTGCTCGAATACAAATAAAACTAATTCAGCTTGCTCGAATCCGAATAAAACTAATTCAGCTTGCTCGAATCCGAAGAATTGCCAAACTATGAATACATCGACAAGCAACACCATTCTTACTGCCAAAACAGCGTCTATATCAGCCCAAATCACATCGCACCCAAGGTTTGATAAAAAAACCCTAAGAGAAGTTGGATTGTCTGGCTGTTCCAAGGTTATTTTAATACGTATTTGTACATTTGTACCTGCACTACTAGTGAATTTAGGGACTGAACTTAATAGATGACGGTGCTTTCAGATCTGTAGATCGCGCAGTCGTACAACGGGAAATTCTGATACAGAATGCAGGTTAGTTAATGCAATCGTTATTTAATGTTTATTTATTACAAAATTTATTTTTAAAAAAGGCTAATAATAAATGTCACCACACTCTATAGGAGCATTTAACAGTGATCGTGATCGAGCGCTTTGTCACAAACTAGAATCTAAACTACGATGTTCAAACTACAAGTATGACAAACTTTATATATTTATTTATTTATGTACACACATTCAACACAGAAAACAATACATAATAAAAAAACAGAGTACATAGGCCCCACATATTCCAACTGGAATTTCTTCCTGTGGGCCTGTGACAGGAAAAGAAATAACAACACTGAGACACATAGTGTGTTACACAAACAAGATAAAAATCAATTAACAAAAAAAAAAGTAATAAGACCGAAGAAACCAATAGAAATAACAATAATAAACAATAAAACAAATTAGTATAATACAATTATAATACATATATAAATAAATACAGAAAAACAAATCTATATTTCAAGAGGAAAGATAATGTTCTCTCACTTGTCTTTTAAAGATAGAGATAGACTTGGCGTCCCGAATATTCGGCGGGAGCGAGTTCCATAGTCTCACTGCATGAACGGAGAAGGAGTAGGAGTAGAAGTCGGTATTATTTATTTACAATTTTAAGATAGGATTGAAGATAAGAACGAGTAAGGACTTCAGGAGGGCGCACCAAGGAGAAACGGTCTCGAAGATAAGTAGGATAGGCTGGGTTGAAGAGGATGTTATAGAGGAGACATAGTATGCGAGTGTTCCTGCGAAGACGGATTGGGAGCCACTTGAGCCTGTTACGGAATTCAGAAATATGATCGAACTTCCTAAGACCAAAGACGAAACGGATACATACATTTTGTAAACGCTCAAGTTTATTTAATAGCTCCTCTGTGGCATCCAAATAGCAAGCATCTGCATAGTGAATGAGAGGCAAGATCAGTGCCTGGACGAGGTGAATCTTAGTCTTCACCGGAAGCAAGGTCCGGAGGCGCCTCAGCGAGTGAATGGAGAAATGAACTTTCCGACTAACCTCGTTCACCTGAAAAGCCCACGACAAGTTCGAGTCGATATGCACCCCCAAGTTTTTCGCAGTATCAGTGAATGGAATGCGTGTGCCATTCAAACGTAATGGACCAAGGCTAGGGACGTCAAGAGCGTTTAGATAATATCTGCTACCGATGATCATGGCCTGAGACTTGATAGGATTGATTTGCAGTCCAAAAGACCTAGCCCACTCGGCAACGCCATCCAAGTCACGATTCATGGCATCGATAGCAGAATGGGCCTCGGACAGGCCAAAGTGGCGGTATAGCTGCAAATCGTCCGTATATACATAGATGGAAATTAGATGAAATGACCCTGGCAACGGTATTAATAAAGATGGAGAGATTCTTTACTGAGTTGTGAAGGTTTGCCAACTTGACGTAGATATCTATAATGGTACCTCTGGAGAGGAGGCTCTGTAGTCAACATTCGATTGTCACGGGCTATTGATGATGAATATTAGCACCAAAAAACTTCCTGTTTATCCTATAGTACCAGAACGACATAATCGCAGGTAATGGAAAGCTAAACAATAATCTACACTATTTAAAACCTTTTAAAATACAAAATTCAATGTGTGTTCATAATCTGTGTGAGTAAAATAGCCTCTTTCTGTTTTCAGATCTGGACCGAATACTATTGAAATTACTAAGACTCCATCTGAGCAAATGTGCACAACGAAACGTTAGCCTTTTATTTATTACGAACTTACCCACATATTATATTTAAGTATTAAGAATGCAGCTTTAGTAACTTAACTTTTATGTTAGGGTTCCGTACCTAAAGGTAAAGACGGGAGTATAGGTACTGCCCTACTACTAGTACTCCGGTATCCGTCTATCTGTCATCTCGTAAATACATTTGAAATTTTTGAATACCAAAGTCAGTGTCGGTCAGTGGCTGAGATTAAGAAATATACTTATACTTACGCTTCTGTCCTATAATGCCTTGTGTGCACTATTCTAGTATTTTAGTCGAGAACCGAGTAATTTAGAGTCTAAAATAACCTCTGTCCAATCGTCCACATTTCACTAAACTCGATTAAATTTTTGGTTTCCAAATGCATTTAGCTCCTAATATACTCTCTATTCGATTAAAATACGAACTGTGAACGGAACAGTAGAGGTAGACAGAGACCATAGAACGCCACCTACGTAGTAATACTTCAGACTTAAATTGAAGCTAATTTTTTTTTTCTTTTTCAGATCATTTAGCCAATTCTCGACCCTGTACCAGGTACATAGCAATAAGAACCTCTTGTTGTTCTATGTGCTGCGTAGATGATGACAGGCGGTGATGATAAAAACGTTTAAACTACACTCTAAGCACATTATCTTAAAGTCCAAAATGATTTGCCGATAACAGTTTAGTGAAAAATTTTATAATTCTGCAAATGATTTTGCATAGATGTTACTAGAGCTTGACGTGCGCATAGAATGTTATAAGTTAGGTGATAATATTATACTTAATTTTGTAGTGTATTTGTTTCTTGTTATTTAATTTATTAGTACTTTTAATATACTTAAATTATAATTTTGATAATGTTCGTATTAGTACCTAAACGTCAAAATAAAAAGTAATTATATAAGGTTATGATTATTTATGAACTTGCTTCGGTTCAATTGCATTTTCATTGATCGCTTTGCATAAATGCATCCCAATCGGTTTAGTAATTTAGACGCTTGAATCAACTGACAAATATAACGAAAACAGACTCCTATACATTTATAAATAGTGACCAATTGCAATAATAAAGTGGTTTATACATAACAACATGATATCACGCTTTTTATTCCCTAAAAGAGAAGGCAGGTGTATAATGACAACACGGTTAGTGCGGTGGCTGGGCAACCAGCTGCCACGCAACGTGTCGCGGGTTCGATTCCCGCACGGAGCAACTCTGTGTAATCCACAAATAGTTGTTTCGGGTCTGGGTGTCATGTGTATGTGAACTTGCATGTTTGTAAACGCACTCACGACACAGGAGAAAATCCATGTGGGGCTACGTTTCTTATTAGAAAAAAAAAGTGATGAACCAATGAAGACCTTTTGGTTACAATCTGGTGATTGGGTGGACTGGACCAGGTGGTGCGAATGTCGCGTGTAGAACAGTTTTAGTTGAATCACTGGAGCTTTCAACCATTGATTTATTCCACGGTATGACCAATGGCACGTAATAAATAAGCTATATAGCTAGTTTGTCACTAGCGCCTCTTGTGGAAAATAGTAGTATTCATCGTGATAATCTTAACATTTCGTCCAGTACCTTCCTATATTACATAGCAAATATATTGAGCACAATCTATTGCTTGGGAATTTTGAAAAACTCTATAGTACCTACGCCGAGAAGTGAACCCCTGGTAAACCCGTTGCGTAGTTTCCCCTCGAAATCATATGTCAAATAACCTTTGATATTTGTATAGTAAGTACTTACTCTATTAAAAAACTATATGAAAATGTCTTTGGTACGAAAACATCAAATTTTAGGTACGCAATCAATAAACTTCAGAATGAAATAAAATTGACAGACATTTTAGAGTACAAAATTTGTGTAGTGTATGGTTAAATTAAATTCTTTGAAACGTACATGGTGAATTAAATTGTACGAAAATGCAAAAATAAATCAACGTAGGTCATAAAATGGCGAAGCGACATTCCTTCACAGGTGTTTTTTTCATAAAGTTCAATGTATTTGCATCAACTCCATCTAACACATCCTCCAGCGTGCGAATATTACGTATATAAAAAGAGTGAAAGCATCTCTCAGAGGTTTCCAGACAGCCTTTCTTCATCATCATCATCTTCATTATACCACAAGAAGTCCGCTGCTGAACATAGTCCTCCTCTCATGACTTCTAGATCGTAATCTTCCAGACTTCCTCGTGTCTCAAAAAAATCGATATAAATAACACACATATGTAACACAATAGGTAAGTATTTATTTTCAGCTTCTGGTAAACGTGGAAAACCATCTTTACGTGCGATCTCCTCGCCCTCGGCAATGAACACCCTCGCATCATCTTCCAAATGTCCGAGCAGCATGAATTGCAATGACTGGGAGCAGTTCATGAAAAGAACATGCAACTACGTATGGACAATGTCCTGCGCGTTGAACGGAAACTATGTTGCTGTCATCGCCATTGTAGTCGTCGTCATCCTCAGTTTACTTCTCCCTGATATCACGCAAAAATTCCACGCTACACACGAACTCAAGAATATGAAAAAAGTTTTGGCTAAAATGTCGGTAAGAATAACATTTGTAACTGATATTTGTAACTTTCAAGGTATAAGTATTAAAAAGCATCATCATCTACAATTCTTCGTGGAAACATCATCCATATAATTTTGCGCAATATTCCATCACTACATCTTCTTGATAGTTCTTGTAGCAGATATCCTTATTCTTCTTCCTGCCTTTATACGAAGCAGTTTGTCCTTCTATTTTACCCACGGAAAGATTTCCTAATACAAAATCGTTTTTAGAATGAAGTGAGACGTGCGGAGGTAGCATGCCTAACAGTGGCTGATGAGATCTGTTGCCTCCACTGCAATATGCACGACGACACTACGGGAACTGTTAGTATCAGGTAGAAGGTATTGTATGCAATCATCATCTTCATCATCTTTATCATCATTAAGGGCCTAAAATTCCACAGTTGGATTATGGGCCTCCTCTATAAAAGATTTGCCATAATTCCCACGCTTAGCACTGAAGACATCAGTTAAACTTTAAGACCCATGCTGATCTGTTGAATATGTAGGTAGTCCCTCAGTCTGTTCCTACTTCACCTGCGGGAAAAATTGGGGTGGACAAATACATGTTCTAGGCTGATATATAAGTTCGTAGGTACCTATTGTATCTATTAACAGCCAAACCCGATTTTAGGACGTACTAGTTTTTAACCTCATTTCTGCCCTCAGGGTTTGAAGTAACCTACTAAATAGCATGATGGGAACTACAGTTCACTTCCTTCGCTAATACCATTGTAACTTAACCGCCTATCGTGTGCCTATGGTCTACTAGTTGTCGCGGAGAACCTAACGGGTAACCGGGGCTCCGGCTCGACGTGCAGGAGAAGGAACGGGGTGGTTTTTAGTCAGTAAGAGTCCCTTCCGCCTCACCCAGGCAGTCATTCGATGATTTTGCCCCATTAAAAAAAGTGATCTAGTTCATAAGCAACATTAATTTTCCTGAAATTGGGTTTGGCCAGTATAAATCACTATAAAAATTAAATTAATCCCTTTCGTATTAATCAATTTAGTTCCGATTTCATTTCAGTCAACCGAAAAACTACAAAACCTCTCAATCTGTACCAACTATTGCATGCGAACTACTCAATCGGAACCGGTCCAAGTTGAAAAAAAAATTGGTTTCCTTCGGCGCCTTTTCTACCCCAATCGAAACACTTCCCACAAGGTTTGTTGGTCATCAGCTCTAATCATAAACTACTTCTAGCCAAGGCTAACTATCAAAGTGTTCCCCAAATATATTTTTAAATGACTTCGAAATAAAAAGGGTGATCTCAGTTTCACTTGTATGTACTTTAAAACGTAGGAGTCGGTTTTTTCATCATACACATCAATTTTCAAATGTGCCAACGATATATCAGTTATGTTACAATACTTTTAATTCAGCTCATTGCCCAATCAGTATAAAAATGAAATTAATTGAAACATATCAGTATATTTTACTAAAAATCTCTCATTGCAATTTTCCGCCCAACCTACAGTACAATACATTCCAAACTCAAATGGAACTCGCATTCGTAGAATTCTTTCACTGGCGCGGAAATATTCGTCCAGAATGATAACTTGTAGATAATTGATTCTTTAATTTTTATATTTGTGGATTATTATGTTTATTGTTTTAGGAAATCGCCATCATGTCATATGTGTACACCGATTCCTTCGACGCCAACAAACAAAGTGAAGATCAGCAAGTGATGTGATGAATATCTCGAGACATTTACGATTAACTACTACTCAAACAATAGCTTTAACATGTATTAATATAACTTCAGCTGACATCGGTCTTTTTCTTTTCAACCGCTTCTAAAAAATGGAGGAGGTTCTCAATTCGATTGAATTTTTTTTTAAGTTGCCGTGGTATGCCGGGGCCGGCTCGAGGGGCAGGAGTAAGAACGGAGTGGTTTTTAGTCAGTTAGAATCTGACACTTCCTCCCGCCTCACCCAGGCGAGAAAAGTCATTCGTTGATTTTTCCCCCTTAAAAAAATGCAGAGGTAGTAACTCGGGAGAAAAGAAAAAAGCTTTGACCAAAATCACACAGCTTGTCCATGGGCTTAGAAGGGCTGCTTAGATGTCAACATCATCATGAACAGCCTATCAGTGGCCAGCAGTGGCCAGTGACGCCTGAATAATCTTAGTTACATTGGTACTTGTTGTTAGTAGGTTTTGAACTCGCAGACTGCACCCTCTTGTATGCCTCATGTATGAGAAGCGGGTGTCTTAGAACTCCGAGCCATCACGACACTAGAAGAATGCGTGGTTGTGATATTCATAGCGTTAATAGTCACATATTTTTGTGTTCCATGATGTTCACCAACACAACCAAAGAGTTTTATATATATCCAGCGACTAGTTGATTGAATACTCTAAGAGCGACTATCATTCTTGACAACCCGGTTGACGCTAGACGTTCTATTCGTCTCTATTGTCATAAAAAAAATTGTAACGATAACATGGTACAGACAAGAAATTGAATTGAAAATTGAATAGTGTTCATTTTATTAATATAAATCTATCAAGCACTCATGATTAAGGAACAAAATTTATTTAAAATGCCTCCACAAATAGACTTCATAAAGAAGTCATTAAAAAATGTTTGTGTTGATACTGTTCTATTATTTGTCATGTTAGCTCTAGTGGGACACCTGACTATAAATTTTTGGGAAAGATTTACTCTACAAAGCGAATTGAGTAATATGAAATACAGTTTACATTCGCTTAAGGTAATATTTTTTTCCTATCCATAGACTTGAATTATTTATTAATAGTTGTAAAATTAATATTTATTTTCTAGGATACAATAAATAACATAGGAAAAGCCTACGATGGTCTTCACACTGAGCTGAAAGATTTAGTTAAGGTTGTTGACAATAAGCAGCACTTGGTACCTGAGTGCAAACATAAAAAAGAAGCAAAAGACAGATGTAAGACTGAACCTTGTTTAGAACATCGAAAAGTAAATGATATTCAAGTACAAACAGCTGTTACAGACACATTGAAAGTTGGCCCACGAGTTTTGTTGACTAAAGATAAACAAACTGGACATGACGGTCATGCACATAAGAGTACGAGTCCCATAATTAGAAACGCAGCAACGAATACTAAAAATCCTCTTAAATCTGTGGGAATCATGTCAGATTTATCGAAAGTAGAATTAGAGCGACGTCCCTTAAGTGATCTTATACACCTTCATTCGTTAAACCATTTAGGTTGCTATAAAAGCTATGATGAATGCAGAAAAATCTGCTACCCTGGAACGGCACAAACATAAATAACTTGTAATTATGCGAACTTGAGATTTATTTAAATAAATAATCCGTGCATAGGCTGATAAGCTCCCCTTACCATAACTAAGATTAAACGGTTTTCAATAATATCCATTATTATTCAACTGCGTAAAATATTTTTCAGATATTGTGTGAGGTAAAAGTGAGAATTGAAGACACGTTAGAAGATACTATGACTTTATTTTTGTAAATAAATTATTTTAACAATAATCACTTCGTTTAACATGTTTTTATTCGACCTATTGACTGTTTGCTTATTAACTGACCAACATCAATTGAATGTCATTTCAAAATTTTCGGTAAACGCTTCGGACAGCCGCATTTGCTAGCATTTTTTCCTAACTTCAAAGCTTTGTTCAGACACACATCAACGTTGGGGAGAGGGAGGCTAGTTCTCGGATCCCAAGCCGCGCCTTTACTATCCAGTGCAGAAGCTAGTGCTTCTATTATTTCAAATTGTCCTTCCAGTTTCGGTAGTTCCTGGGACACCCGAGACACCTTCAGTTCCAAATCGAAGTAACTGTTTTTCATGCTTGCTAAATTTTTCTATAACAAGAATACGTAATGCATTATACACAAGTACACATCTTTAAAATATGTCTACGAATTTGACTTAGAAAATTATTTAAAGTTATGACAAAAATGACGATAGTAGCCTTACGCCTTCTATTTCAAAATTTAAATAAACCTGAATAAGGTAGTCGCATTTACATTATGCAACATCTTCTTACTAATGCTGTAAATGTGAAAGATTGTGTGTTTGTGTGTAGGTATGTTTTAACTCGACATTCGCCAAATTAATAAAAAGATTTACCGAGATGTCTTCAATGCTCCTATTGATATGGTTTATATCACATTTCGAAGAGCACGTAGAACAGTGATAGTCTAGCATTAGGTAAATGAGCCCTATAAGACTTGACAATATTAGGAAGCTGTAGCAGCTGCTCATAAAACTCCAGGGCTTATTGCACTGCTCCACCGCGATGTCTAAACAAGGGTTGCAAGAGCGGCCTCGCATTCTACGATTCCTTCGGGCACGACACTCCATTTTGATCTTTCCCTTCCTTTTCTTCATAAACGTTTTTACCCCGTGTCGAGCCACCCTCACAAATTATTTAGTATTTTATATTTTAAAGCTCACATTTCCACTAAAATATTTGTTATACAGTAAATTTGATTTATGACATTTTGGTTCAATATTTAACGTGACAAATTGATTTTGATGTTTTTGCAGATTTAGAATGTACAATTTTATAAGCAGCCAGTATTCAGCGGTTTGTCATTGTACATGGTTATAGGTTTATATAAGAACGCCATCTACTAATTTCCAGTTAGACTAACAAAACCTCCATGGACTGTGGAGGCAACTTAACGCGTCGCATTGTAGCTAAACGTCAGGACCCATAGCTTGTTAGTAAAATATTACCAGAAACTCCTACGAGAGGGCGTATCCTGTCCAAAATTTATTACTTCATAAGCTAACTGCCAATTTTATTGCAAATCGATCTTAAGCCAGCAAGTAGGTTATCATCTCCAACTAGCAAGACAGTCATATTTAGCTTATATTGTGGGAGCGAAAAAACCCTTGTTTACCCACAGTTTTTGGATTGAGGTTTGTTATTGAAATCGGCAGTAAGTAGACTGAAGTAGATGTAGGTAGGTAGACAGGTTATTTCAAATTACCACCATTATCAAAATAGTCTATAGGTACGCTAATACTGTCCACTCTTTCTAACCACTTCATAGTCGCATATTATCTGCTTACCCATAAATGTTTGATTAATGATATCCATGCGTTTAGTCTGGATATCATGAGGTATGTTTTATCTTATCATCTATAGGAATGACTGCTTCATGAACCAATTGAAATAGCAATGGACTCAGTACCGCCTTTACCATAAGGGCATTCGAGGCCCGTGCCCAGGGCTCCCTTCCTCATTGGGATCGACAATTTATACCGGTTGCCGCGCAACTTAAAGCGGGTTCGATTCCCGCACGGAGCAAATCTTTGTTGTTTCGGGTCTCGGTGTCATTCATAATGTATGTGAACTTGTATGTTTGTAAATTCAAAAGGGCCCTGAATTATTATGAGCCCGAGTGTGCCAGTGTAGTCTAAGACCTATAAGCACTGTCCTATACCCTGATTCATGGTGTTGCATTTTAACTGAAATACTCAGTTTTAATAAATTCTCACATAACATCTCGCCTTTTTTCCCCGAAGGGGTAGGCAGAGGTGCACATTATGCCACTGTACAATGTAACACCCACTTTTCACTATTTATGTTATGAGTCCCATGTAATAGGAGGTGACCCTATTGCCATATACCGGGCACAATTCCAGACTCCGTGCTACCACTAATATCCGTAATACTTTGCCCGACTCGGGAATCGACCCTTTGCCCGGCAGTCGCACTTGCGACCACTCGGCCCACTAAGCAGTCTATAGAAGCATATTAAATCCTCAATAACTCAATATATTTACTTACACACATAGGTACAATATTTACTCAGAAATGCAATGCAATGGCCAAACAATTACCTATAGGTGATGTCACATTGGAGAATAATAACGAAACATCATAACCGTCACCCATTTCTATTAGGCTGATGTTATAATAACATATGTACCTAATAAAATAACCCACTAAAGACTTTATAGCACTATACATAGCATGGTCATTTATATTTAACTTATTAGTTCATAGATAATACCCGTACTTATACACATTTTGTAAGTACGAACTTCTTGTATACTAGTTGTATTTGTAGTATCTACTAATTAAATTACTTTCTATATTGTCTTGTCTAGGATTACTTGTACAAGTTTAGCTGATATTATGAGTTAGACCAACCGGTTATAATATTACCCGAACAGAGTTGGGAGTAATGAATGGAGGCCCTTGATCTTCAACCATAAAGAATGCCTCATTATTGCGTTAGAGGCCAGTCGGACGTGCTTAATCGCTTTCACGCCGTATCAAACAATTTGCTGCTTTGAACCACATAATCCTATAATAGTCAGTATTTTACAAACGGACTTAGATTTCAAATACTACCTCACAAAATTTATGTATTTAGTACAGTTCCCGCTAAATATTGTCTGCAAGTCTGCGACTCACTGTTACCACCTTTCTAGGTACGATAGGCATTCTAGGCCTCTCAGAAATACGTATAAGGAAGCAAGTACCAGTTCATTAACTTCTTGGAAATGCACGAGTTAGAGGTTTAGTGGCGTTAGGCTTTTGTGCACATTCAAGCCACATGGTACAAAACCTCCCAGACTCCTAACCTTAGGTCGGATCTCTTGGTTAGTTGCCGCCATTCGACGAGACGTTAGAAAAGGACGGGTTGATATTGCTCAACCGTTCGCTCTCATTGTATTCCTTACTTGGTTTTCGTTTTACATTTCGAGCTTTTAGTGAGGAGCCGAACTGGAACTGATGTCGATGTCGATACTTTTTTTGAATATATTTGAATTGTGAATAAATAACAATAATTGGTTGCTTCGTGTATAGTCACAGAATTTCTGTCTTTTCACAACATGTGAGTTTATGATTTATCTACCGTGTTTTGTTTTGCTAGTGGAGTGTAATGATATCAATTTACTTTTAACTCTAATTCATTTGTTATGTTATGTCAAAGACACCATCTGAACACAGGCCTCCAATAAGACTTCACTTTTTTATTATAAAGACGTCGCATTTACGCAAGTAACTATAAACGAAAACGTCACCCCACTTTTAAATGTTTCAAACAAAATGACTAGTCTGCAGTCTTATCTCATAAAATAATTAGACAAGTACATTTACTGTCTACCTCACAACGTAATTTTAAACCTCTGTTCTTCAAATTAGGTGCCAAAGATCTTATAAGACTATGTATCATTTTCTAATTGGAAAATATTATATTTAAGATGATATTATCGACAGTGATAGATAGGGGCATGCCTAGCAGGTCGCACCGGCCGGCAGCGGCGGCGCGCCGCGCTGCATGATGTCATTCATACACACACTCACACATCGGACTCCGTGTGACTTGGTCGTGTCGTGTTGACCCGCGCGCCTGTTTACATTCTGTACACAGTGACTCCACGGCGTACACCCGTGTCTGTGATTTAATTTATTATTTAATATTAACTAGCTATTAGATAGTTCTAAATCACTCAATATGGCCAACAACAGAGCTGCCAAGTCTGGATTTGCTGCCGAAGCACAGAGAAAGGTAAGTTTTCATCTTATGATTTTCAAGTTACCTATTACCCGGCCATGTGTTGGAGTTCAACTGTATTTTATAGTGCGATGTGGGAGTGGTTCTTCAGAAACAGGTCGCGTTACACTAGATTATTGATTCGGGATGCTGTGAGCTCCAGAATTGTGTTACAAGGACTCAGCCGTGACCTAGTTTAGGGAACAGATGGTGTGGCCTCGTTACCGAGATGCATGGCTCAGATGGTCTTGAATCTTTAGAGACGCGTTGCATACTCTTGAATGCTTAGTTATTCCTAGTATAAATAGCTCAATTCCGTTACATTTTAAAGGATAGAAATTAACTTCTATAACCTTTCGGACAACAATAATAATATAGGTAGTTACCCTCTTCCAATTTGCATCTCACTTCTCCAATTGGACGACCATAAAAAGAAAGGGTAACGCATTCAAGTCAAAAATAATAACAACTACCTTCATATTATGTAAGGCACCCTAACATACTTAAGTTGTTTAAATTATATTCAACTATGTATTTACAATAAATAAAAAGGCACTTCTGAGTTAAGATTACCTATTACAATATACTTTAAATTAAAATACTTTTATATAAAAAATATTAGGTTTCTTCCCAAGCGGATCAAACCCTATTGGGTCAACAACTTAATGAAATAATTTTTTTTAGAATAAATTGAATAAAAATAGACTTGTGGCTACCACCTTTATGCACATATTGAGGAAACATTATCTTAACAATGGTGTGTACTGTAAAGGACTCGTTACGTATCCACATTCCAAGGAAATTTGTAGATACATACCTATGTATTTGTATACAAATGACATTGTTTAGCATTTAAATATAAGTAACGTACAGTCGCATCACACGTTTGCATTGAACCAAGGTTATAGAGAATGAATCATTTCTCACCTTTTTTATTAATAAAAATTACGCCATGTAAAAAGTGTTAACCTTTTTTGTCAACCTTAGAATGTCAATGTTACCATACCAAAAAACGTTCCTAGGCGCTAAATGGACTCGTTCAATTAATTAAACAATTTATTTTATTGTCTATTGTGACATCTCGTATGTAGAGGACATAATCATGATCATTGTTCTAAATATAGTTCTAACATTACAAAGATTTCACTAGCATCTGTTTATGACATTTGATACTACAACAATGGGTCAAATGCATAGTATGACACAAAAATTTATTAAAATCCCTTTCAAAATATTAGTATTACTTATAATACTAGTAATGTCACAACTCAAGTGAGTCAAACTGTATTCAGGTAAGCACCTTCGTCAAAATTAAATAACCTTAAAATCTCAACAATACCTAAACGGTCATTGCTCCAAGCAACGCTTCGGCAACCAAGCATCCTAGTCAGCTTAATAATTTAAATAAATATTGCCTTCTAAATTCATAATATACTTAAACCAATTAAGAAATGGAAGAAGTGAGTGATGGATTCGACTGAGAAAGCTAAAGTGTAATAGCAGAACAAGGTTTTGCATTTACACTAGTTATCGGTAAAATGCCACAAGAAAAGATACAAAATAAAGAAAGCACTGTAAATTTCGTAACAGTAAACTTAAATTTATCAGACATAAATTTACATTCCGTTATTTTTAAACGTAGCCCCAAATTGTTTTTGTTTTTATGGTCATATAATTATTATCATTCAGGACACCTTTCTTCCTACTAGTCACACCGGCTGCATTTGGGTCAAGGAGGATCAGTTATCAACTTTTACAACCGGTTTATATTTTTATGGGAGTCCTTTAGTACCCTCACGCAAACAAAGCATGAAGTTTTTCATCTACATCATAAACTTATCAATTTAAACCGTTATTCCAATGGAATACCAAAATAAGTGTGTTTTCCGACTGACAAACAGGTACGTGATGCTATGCGCCTTATCAGTAAAACGAGTATGCAGGTCAAACGGATGGACGTTTAAATGTATTAGTGACTCTCTTTTAATTACGGAATTACAGTTAGTTTTTAAGACTCAAACGTTACATCAGAGAACTAAACCAACCATGTAAACATTGTACACTTAGGTAGTACAGTTTGAATTGTTACTATATTCAACTACGATTAACCTACAGCATATTATTATACAAATACATCTGACGAAACAGATGTTCAATTAGTTCAAAAGAATTTATTTTATACTAATTCAGCGAGACGGTGACTCATATAAGGCTCGGTTCTGTTACAACACACAGCACCGCACCTTATAAGGTATGGCCTTTACGCAGGATTCATTTATATGGCTTAAATGCAGGCCACTTTCAACCCAGCCATATGTTCAAGATTGACAGTTGACCAAATTTCTCTTCGATATTTAAATTAAAAATATAATTCTATGCGCAAGCGACGTAGTGTTGTGCAATTTGAGATGTACATAGGGCATAGATTAACAAAAAGATATATCGTATTACAACTTGTGTGGCCTGACTTGTAACACGATGCTTTTAGTAATAGTCAATTTTATGTTGACGTTGTTTTTACTATCACTCAGAATAATATACTTAGTAAGACATTATGGCGTAATTTTATTCAAGGAAATAATCTGACTCAGTAGTTCTCGTTTTAAACTTGAAGTTATCCCCATTTTTGTTGCGAATCAATACTGGTTGCATTGCATTGACCGCGTCCGAGAGCCGGCCTCGCTCGGTGACCCCATTCCTGTCCCCTTACCAGTCAGTGTTGGGGCCATTGTTGACAATGTCACTGAGGCTGGGTATTTTTATTTGATTTACCTTAAATTATCAATTCTTACCTACAAACAGCGTAAACATTCAATTTGCGTCATACCCTGGCTAAGCAATAGTTTATATTTATATGCCGATTTAATTTGAAATACATACACATCCAAGCTTTTTTTATTTTATATTTGTAATATCTGCTTACCATTAATGTCAATTTTTACCCGTTGCGTCTATTTTACCAAGCTATAAACTGCAGTCTCAACGCAAGTCCATCGAGAAGTTTCAGACAGGGTTGGGAAATATGCATGATAGTCATACTTACAAATATAAATTACCACGAAATATAATGTTGGAGGACAGATTTCCTTTAATTAGTAACTGTTGGAGTATGTATTTGTCTGACGTAACCTAGAGGACGTGCTCCATACTTCAAAAGTCTGAAGCCGTTAACATTGAATCATAGTTATTTATGGCCACAAACGTTTTTGTTACCGACCCGTGTATGGCTGTATGTATAACGATTACTAGTGAATGAATGCTTTAATATCATTACATAAGTATTGATATTCGCAATCTTATCCTTCTTGGCCTCGTTTCACATCTGCTGATGTCCATCTGCTTAAAAGGAAAAGATCAAATTGCAATCATTAAAGACACTATTCATACTAAAGTAAGTTCAGTTGGGTATGTTTTGCTCCTAAATTAAATTCTATTTCTCAAGACTTAAGTCAAGATTCCAAGGCTGAATATTCTAATAGCCAGTTGGTATATGAAATAAATGATCAAGGAAGTACCTAAACAGCTCTAACTACTTTAAACAAATGGTATTATCAACTCCTAAATAGTTACACAAACGTCATTGACGGTTCTGTATTTCATATCAGTGAAATTCGTTATTTTAGTTACCAAAACGAATTGATAGCCGCCATAACACAACTATCAAGCCAACCTAATTCACCCAACGACCTCTCGTTGTTTGATAATTATGTTAACAAGCAACTGAAGTTAATTAATTAAATACAGTAAATAACTAAATTGATATACTGTTTGTATAAATTGTTGGCCAATAGTATAGTCTATACAACTATTGCTTGGTTAGTCTCATTGACAACGATTTAACTTCGATCGATATTGATATTTTCCGTGTATTCATGCCAACAGGAGATTATAACAAATTATAATGTTGGAGTTTTACTAGAGAACGGATTTGTATAAAGATTCCGTTAGAATTTAAAAATAAATCTGATTGATTTTAACAACACAGTATAAGGCCAACATTTGCAGTATACAATGCCTGTCCTGTAGGAACCTATTACATTCCAATTTATAAAGTCAGTGCAACATAGTTTATAAAGGACGTTGCTTACAAGAAATCACTTCCTCTAACTTCAAACACAAATTAGACAACACTTCGGAATATTAATGAGAGGGACATGCATATCGGTACAATCCATCTGGGACGAATTAAAATTCAAAAACCTTCGCTGTTGATACAAAAGGAGGGAGGCTAAATGACCTACTTGCTTGGCAACAAATTAAAAATTTTCCTCAATTATTATGTCTCGATATTACGTGTTTTTGTCAAACTATTTATAGATCGGCCAGTAATTAATATTTTTAATTTATCTGGTTTTGTTTTCTGCTATATTGATATTTTATACATACAACTAAAATTGATCGATATTGTTTCATCTTTAAAGTAGAGAGGTTAAGGAAGGATGTACGCCTTCCAAAGCAGGTTGTGAGAGCATGCTTTAATTTTTAAGGTTACAAACGTCTGACATACCGGACTCTGAGTCACGTTTGAATCCTTGCCTGGTTACGTCATCGTTAACGTGCGCGTGAGTTGTTTTTTGTGAATTACTATATGTATTCTTACGGGAATATTCGATTACTTGTCACATTATTTCCTAATAATTTTGTATTGATTCATTTATATAGAAGTACTTACAACCACCTTATATGGTCAGTAGCAAAATTACCAATTAATCATAAATCATTCCAAAATTTGTTACTAGTTGTGACATATTTCACTGTAACCTTTAAAAATAAAATTAGTTTTACTATTTATGTACATCTTTCTTTGGAAATAATAATAAAATTAAAAAAATATAGTAGGTATACTTGCAGCCTGAGGTCATATCATTTGAAGTCAGAAAATACATACATATATCTTTAAATTTTAAAGATGCCAATGTTGGCATGAAGTTAAATAAATATCCTCAAGGAGGAATTAAGATTAAATAGATGCTGAAAGTGAGGAACATGTTGCCTAGTGAATTATTTGCTTCGGTCGTTAATTGATGATCGAAGATTATTTGTAAACTTATAGTATTTGTTTATTAGCAGCATCGACATTGTGTACAGCATAATATAGCTATTCAGCTAATCAGAGTACCTATAAGTACCTACGAACCTTTATTAGCATAGATGCAAAAATCCTATGTATTTTAAGACTACGTATTCAGCGCTTAGCTTCAGTACTTCCGAAGCATTAGGTATGTAAACAGAACGGTCTTACTTAATTGGTTCACCTACAGCACGTATTAACCTACTATTACTGTATTATAGTCACGGAGAGACTCCAATCACTTACTTTCATAGCATGGAACGTGATGCGTACACAATTAAAACTATGATAAGGTCAATGTTAATGAAATACTTAGGTATTTTAATGAAATCGAAGGACGCTGGCTATCTTCGTATTTCATTAGATAAATAGTTTTACATGTTACTCAATAACCTTTGTTAAAAATTCTTTGACTGGGAATGTTTGTATCATTCTTTGCTTACACAATACAACTGAAGAAGACATTATTTATTTGAGCATGCCGCATTGCAAGCGTTTATATAAAAATATAAAACACATCAAGACCTAGATTTTAAATTTTATTGTTTATTTTAGAGGAACTAATAATTTTGAATATAAATGTACAGTTTTTATTTATTAGGCATAAGTAGATTAAATTGCTATAAAATCGAGTTGGGAACATACCGTCGCAGGAAACTGTCATGTTATTTTTCGCTATATTATATTTCCTTTTTAACAAGTAGAGTTCAACTAGATTATACATAGATAACACATTATTTACAGCATTTATTAGGCACTGACATAGGTAAACTTAGAGCTCTTTTTTCTTTTTATAAAAAATATCGTCCTATATGCATAAGGGCGATATACATACCTATGTATATTTTCTTAAAAATTACCTACCTTAAATACAGGCGACACCATTACCTACCTTTATCTACCTATAATTTGGTGAACAAGTTATATTTCGAAGAATTACATGCATATGAATGTATGTTAATATATGTATTTATATAAATAGTGGCTACGTAATTTGTTATAAACATCTGTAATAAATGAGCAGAAACTAACCGGCAGTGCTATACAATAATAGGTATTCGCTCATTTCTTATCAGTACGACCTTGGGCTTCCACTGAGTTGATACACACATTACATACTACACACTAACTGCATACATAACATTTCAGTTATTTCCTATTTAGAAATTGATCATTTGAAGAGTATTTTTTTCCTTATATCTTATTTAATAATTGTTACTGAGTTTTGAATAAAATTAAATAAGTAGCATAACATAACATAACATCACGCCTTTTATCCCCGAAGGGGTAGGCAGAGGTACATATTATGTCACTACAATGTAACACCCACTTTTCACTGTTTATGTTATGAGTCCCATGTGAGTAATAGGGGGTGAGCCTATTGCCAATATACCGGGCACAATTCCAGACTCCGTGGTACTACTGAGATTTTTTAAAACCCTGTAATACTTTGCCCGACCCGGTAATCGAACCCGAGATCCCTTTGCCCTAATGCCCTAGGCAGTCTAATTAAATAAGTAAATTAAACAAATTAAATATGTAGATACGCAAATTATTACCTACCCTAGGTAGGTTGGTAACCTATCCTACCTTAATCATCATGACGAAAGAGATCCAGCACTAAAATCTAAAGAAGGGCATCCTCTGTAGTCTTCCCAAATGACAACTCACTACTTGCATTGCATTTTGCATCTAATGGCTTCCTGCGAGTCAGTCCTTTGATGATGTCAGTCATTAAAACTGAATTATATTTATAAACCTACCTATGAGCCTATGACGCACCCATAGAAGACCTGTGACCAAGTCATTAGAAAAGTCTGACATGAGGTAACTCTCATTCATGAACCTATTTTTAAAATAGATGATCTCAAATAATGAATGGTTATGAAAACATATTCAAAATGGCTTTCAAAATATTCAATACCTAGCTACCTAAATAAGTGCGCCATTCATGTTTAGTCAATTGCCTAATTTAATTAGAAACTGCTTATTTAAAAAACATCATTGCTCTCATGAGCATATCCTTATTCCAGGTTAGTTTTACTTTTTATTTAACTTTATGCAACAAGGTTATCTACATAGGTAGGCTTAATGCTATGGGCATTCTTACTAGCCAACCTTAAGGTGACGCAGTGAGAGCGTGGTCGGTGCATTTAAGTTGAGAACTTATCTATTATAGTTACTAAAATGAAAGAATGAATGAAAGAATACATATACTGCACGATTGGTGGGGTGGCTGGGCAACCGGCTGCCGTGCAACGTGTCGCGGGTGCGATTCCCGCACGGAACAACACTTTGTGTGATCCACAAATTGTTGTTTCGGGTCTGGGTGTCATGTGTATGTGAACTTGTATGTTTGTAAACGCAGACGCACCCATTTTTTTTTTAAACCTATATCAGTATCATAGACACAGATAAACATGAATAGTTGATGTTAGTTTGATTCCATTCCGTTCCGTTAGTATTTTTAGCGAATTTTCTTTCATGTATTTTTTCACACAATCTTCCATTGACCTTTTTTTTGTGATATCGCATAGGGCGGCATACGAGCAGACAGATTTTACCTGAGGCCTTACTACGAGTTTGTTGTACGTTTAAAGTAGGTAATCGAAATGAGACCGTGTTCGGCGCATTGATAGGTTAGTTTATTGGAGCCGGCCAATCAGAGATCCGAACGCGGTACTAAAGCGTCTCATGTAGGGTTGCCAAGCGTACTATATAATTATATATTGTACGTTATTAAGGAAATTGTACTCTATACTTTATAAGAATAATAAAGTATACGAAAATACTTTATTTTTGCAAACTTCATTTCTATTAAAGTCGTAAGTATTTAAACTTATCGATTCGATATCGATATTTATCGATTTATGTTGAATCGATTTCGCCACTGGCCAGCGACACTTAGACAATTTCTAATAAAGATGCAATTTTTTAGTAAAGACACTAATTTAATACAAACTGCAAAAAGCAATAAAAATATATTTTCAAATAAAATACTAAATAAGAATAAATTGTACTTTATTTTTGTACTATGTACTTTTTTTCTTACCTATACTTTAAATACCAAAAAAAAGGTGGCAACCCTACTCTCATGGTAAGCAATCAGTAACAGCAGAGGAATAACAAGTACGTTGCCGGCTTTTTAAGGATTACGGGGACTTTTTCTTTGGTCATCTTCTCCTTTATCACGCATTCCCTCAAATATCTAGACCTACGTAAGTACCATTGTTATAGTGGTGTAAAGTAAAGGCTTAATGAATCTAGTGACTAAGTACAGTTATTGGTAGGTACCTTAGTTTATCCATGATTTGTTCATAAATGGTTGTTTGTGCGTATACCTACAGTACGTATACAAATGTTTTTCCCTGTTTACCATAGACAATAACCATTGTTACAGTAATAAATCGGGTTACAATAAGGATCGGTATTGTTAAAAATAACTCTGACATAAATTGTAATGGGTATAGTGTTTGTAACTCCTCTTAACAAGACATAGGTACCTAATTGGGATGATGACAGGGTATGAAAATTAAAAATCTAATAGTCCGTAATTTAGGTAATGAAAAAATATTAGACACGTATTTTTTACTTTGTCGTATAATAAAACAATAATAAATAAACAATTCAAAATTTAGGAGTGGGGGCTAAAACGTCATTTCTACGTATAAAATGTAGGTACATAGAAGTGACGTCACGCGACATTTCAAATCAATATATCGACCAGACGGACATTAAAATAAAAATTAGGCATCTACCCTGTTGTCTATATCATATCGTGTAAAGAAAGCTTAATCACATTCTCAGTAGGTAGGTACTAGACGTAGGAAAGCTTTAATGGGTCGATTTTAATGGATACCAATAAACCTCCTTCCTAACACAACACTCGCAGATGGAAGATATAAAATTCTATGAAGCTGCAACTACTTTAATACTAACACTAAATGAGCCGTGTGACACTAACTTAATATTATTTTTATGATCCTCTTTGCAGAATCTTAGCGTCATGGTTCGTTGTATCTTTTCATGAAACTTCTACAGATGTTTTTGACAATATTTTATCGATATTAACGAAGACTTGTTTGAAAACAAAAACATATCATCAATTGATATTACTCCTGAAGTTCTAATTGTAACTTATCCCTACTAGTTAATAGGGAAACATCCGTTATCGGAACATAATAAAATAGTTCTAATGATTTCCCTATCTTGTTTACAGATCAACAGCAAATACAGCGAAGAGCTAGCCCAGGAGTGTCTAGAATGGATCCAGGCCATTATCGGCGAGCCCACCAACACCTCCGGTGACATGGACAACTTCTATGAAGTACTTAAGGACGGCACTATTTTGTGCAAGTGAGTATTTCCCATTGGGAATAACTGTGAAATGATCTGTCGTCGGCGGTATTTCCGAACCGATATGACCTTCAAACCTTCAAGAAAAGAGTGTATTCCTTTTTAAAAGGCCGGCAACGCACCTGTGACTCTTCTGGTGCTGCATATGTATGTCCATGGGCGGCGCTAGTCACTTACCATCAGGTGTTCCATCTGCTCGCCACCTATACAATAAAAAAACTTATAAGTTATGTAAACAAACTATACATACTTAGGTACTCGTATAAGTAGTTACTACAGGTTAACTAATACAACATGTGTCAAAAAAATTAACATAGCGTTCCAGTTCCATAATTATATTAATCCTAATGAAAAATAATATGTATGCACTATGCATGCATTAAATTGAACGATGCTCAAAATTAAACCTGCATTCAAATTTCTCGAATGTCTGTATCATCTAAATCTTTAGTACCGTTTGCCTGTCTGCCCGTTGCGGCTATTGTATTTGCATAGCAACTGGGACCGGCGGCTTCACGTCTCTATGTAAAGAACGGTCGTTCATCTCAGACTTTACGACTTTTCGAAGACTATATTGACTTAAAACAGCTATTACTTTACATTCCATTGGTATAACAAGCTAAATCTCAAAGCGTATTATTGATAAATAGGATTACTTTGGCTTTTCGTAGCAGAAATTGGGCCGAAGGCCGAGAATCTAATACGCTGGCTTTATTGCATACATTAGGTTAACGAATTACTTCAATTATCTAAATAGGTAATCCGAGTTCGATAATACTATCCTGTCCCCAAACTCATCACATAATGGCTCATCCAATTTTGTCATCGTTCTGTGGGCGTGCGTCACGCGGTGAAGCGATTGTTTGTGGTTTGACTAATACTAACCGAGCTAGTATAACTACCTATGAGTCTCTGACTTAGATATATCTAGCCTAGAGAACATCTATCTATAGATTACTTATAAGCAGCTCCGAACACGGAGCTCAATCGTTACGTAAAACCCAAGCTAAACATAAACTTAGGTAACACATACGGCTGAATGTCATAAATGTAGATAGATATTTAATAAATAATCTGTCTTTGTATTACAGGCTCGTGAACGACATTCAACCTAACATTGTGAAGAAGGTGAATGTTTCGAAGATGGCCTTCAAGTGCATGGAGAACATCAACGCTTTCCTAGAAGCCGCCAAGACGTTGGGCGTGCCGGCGCAGGAAACATTCCAGACTGTCGACCTGTGGGAGAGGCAGAACCTCAACTCTGTCGTCATCTGCCTGCAATCCCTTGGCAGAAAGGTTAATATTACACCTAGTTCTATTTATTACAATTTAATAAAGTATTATTAATAAGTACTGAACCTTTTCAAATTTCGTAACAATGACAAAATGTATTGCTTGATATATTATGAGGTACTTACAATTTTAACGTACATACAAATAAGTTAATATTTTTTTTCGTTTTTAACATTCCAGGCCGGTAACTTCGGAAAGCCGTCAATAGGACCAAAGGAATCTGAGAAGAACGTGCGAAACTTCTCCGAAGAGCAACTTAGGGCTGGTCAAGGTGTGATCTCTCTGCAGTACGGCTCCAACAAGGGTGCCACCCAGAGCGGCATCAACTTTGGCAACACGAGGCATATGTAAACTTCAGCCAGTATACAAAGGCAACACACTTCTCGCCACCCCACGCCAACTAATTGGTCGGTAGGATTTTAATGTTATGTATTTCTCGGTCTACCAATTCTGGCGTTGGGTGACACAGTTTCTGCCTTCAACGTAAATGTACACCCGATCTGTCAGAAAGGGATGATTAGCATCAGAAAGACCAAGCAATCAACAACTTGCTTCTTATTCGACTTCTTATTTATATTTGTGTAGGATTTTTGACGATGAAATCTCGTAATATGTTATGTGACTTACAAGATACGCACAGTGTTCAGTCACTACAAAGCAACTATTTCTCACAATGACACAATCTCTTGGTGGAAATCATCCCTGAAACACACCTAAGTAATAATTAATTATACATACATAGTGCAGTACTTATATTAGATTCAATGACATAATGTTAGAATAGGAAAGGGTCATTCCTTTTAAAAATCTCTTTTTGAATCTCTATTTTGGCTATTATTTCCAACTAAATAAAGTTCTTATTTCCTTGTAGAGTTATTAATAAGGACTTTGTGTCCTAAGACGATGTTTCGAACCTAAATGTGAGTTCTGATTGACTGTAACAATAATTTAATTATTGTTTAGAGAATATAGACATGGAAGAATAAAGACTACCTACTGTGGGAATGAGACTTCCTAGTGTTGGAAACAGAAAAATAAGCATTAAAGTGACAACTTCATTCCGAAATCATTCCAGAATTGTGTGCCGAAGTACTATAATTTATATTTTAATAAGTTTAAGTCATTTAAGTAGCATTTGATATTAACTGGTTGTTTAAGTTATAAACGTTTCGGCTTTGCTTCTAAAATGTAATATAAAATTGTGCCAATGTTGTCGAACACACAATTTTCTTGTAATAAAATGTTATTAAAACAGTACAATTATTAGAATTACAAATTCTGTTATAGTAATACTTGTGCCTTCGAACTCCATGGGGGTTAAGAGACTATGTGTAATGTTTTAAAAGGTGTCTAACAAAATATGTATGTATGGCTTTCGACTTACAATCAGGGTTTCCTTCTATTTTTATTATTATTTATTGAAATATTGAAATTTAATCATTCCATATATATTTAGAATGTTAGTACACACTGTGATTAATGATTTTATAAACATTTCTATACTATATTTTCATATAGTTACGTATATATTCGACGACGACGTGTAATTCTAGTTATGTAAGTATCATACAGCATTTTCTGTGCTGTATGGAAGTACGTAGAGTAATAAAATTAAGTAAACTAAATAGTGTTTTAATTACATTGTTGAATCCTACTTGCGCTACGGAACCTACATTTTCTAATGTTAAATTTAATTTGTCTGCCGCATGTCTGACGAGCGGTGGGCAATACTCACTACCGAGTGGATCCTGCTCAACGTCAATACACGTCGCGGCAAGCCCAGAAGGAGAAGGCGGGTTGATCTTGACACCTATCAAAGGGATTGGCCACAGAAAGCTCTACGAAGAGACGAGTGAAAGGAGAGTAGGGAAGCATGTGCCCTACAGTGACGAACATAAAAAAAAATATAGTAACAAACCTTTCACCTCTACTTTCAAAAACAGAAGTTGAGTTTGTTGTCATACAATTATTATGAAAAGGATTTATCGATCTTAAAGTGAACTTATATAAGGACTGGCAAACATAATACGTTTGACTGTAACATTTGAATCTTCCCATCTCCAGTTGCCAGTGAAAAACCTACAATGAACGTGAATTCCAGTTCGAATACGAAATGTGAAGAACTAATTGCGTTCTTTAATCTATATCTATCATTAATTAGTTCAAATAACTATAAGGAACATTAGCCCAAGGTCGAGAGGAACCACAACACTGCACGGTTGGCGCGGTGGCTGAGTAACTGCCCGCTACGTGTCGCGAGTTCAACTCCCGCACGGAGCAACTGTTTATTTAATACATAGATTGTTGTTCCGGGTCTGGGTGTCATGTGTATGTACACTTGTATTTTTTTTATGGAATAGGAGGCAAACGAGCAGACGGATCACCTGATGGTAAGCGATCAGCGCCGCCCATGGACACCCGCAACACCAGAGGAGTAATAGGTGCATTGCCGGCCGTTTAATTAAAGAAAAACGCTCTTTTCTTGAAGGTTTAAAGGTCGTATCGGTTCGGAAATACCGCCGACGACAGATCATTTCATAGTTTTGCTGTGCGAGGCAGAAGGCATCGTGAGAAGCGCACAGTTGTTTATGTTTGTAAACACCTACGACACAAGAGAAAAGCCTAGTTTTAGGCAACGTTAAAACAAATTATGTAGTTTATAGGTAGGCAGGTAGTTGATACTTCCGATGGCAGGTGTCAAAATATATTTGCTATCATAATTCCTTTAGGCATCACATGTAACATTTAGTTAACTAGGTTATTTTTTTTTTATTAGTTAGGGCGTTAAACGTGGAGACTTTAACAATCGGCTCCGTGCAACACTAGAGGTGTTACAAGAGCATTGCCAGCATTTTGGGGATTATGAATTTAAAGATTGCAAATTAGGAAATTGGGTATGGTAGAGAATTGGAAAAACATTCTCATAGGAGAAGCAATGAGTACTTCTATAATCAGAATTAGCTCTCTGTTTCGACCAGCAATAGGAGCAACGCAACTATTACATATTCCTTAATGTCTGTTGCGTTGCTTCCTCCACATTCGTAAATAGATAGGTACACAATGATAGCACAAATATGTGAAAAAAAATACACAATTTAAAAAATGTTACCTTGACGTTATCTTTTTATTTCTAAATGGACCGAATAACAAAAAAAAGATATCTACCTACAGTCGCAAAGCTGCAAAATTTGATATGACAATATCCATAGGCGCTAAATCTGTGTTGGGGCCCATCAGATACATCAATACATGCCTGCATCATATTATTATTATCATGAGTATCTTGACTCTCGCTGACTTATGGAAACTGGATCCAATATTTGTTTGTCACATGGCTCACTGGCGATAAAGCTAACTTTCTTTGTGCCTAACAAAATTCTCTCCATCTTCCTCAAAAGTATTTCACCGGAGGATTAACAAAAGGAATTTAACATTGAAAGTCACAATTCTTCACTTCACGTATAAAGAAGTGAAAAATGCGTAGTAAAAAGTTTTACGCAAAAAGTATTAGTCTTATCTTACTATCTTAACTTTTGAAGGTAAACGCTACTTAGCAAAGAATATCGGTAATCGGTATTTGCTGATATTATTAAAGGAAAAAAACAAGACTGTGTTGTTGTTTTAATGGCTGCAATGGCGCCTGCTAAGCAAGAGGCCTCAGTTTTAATGCTCAGATTCGTTGTAACTGTTTTAACAGATAAGTACCTACGTATTCGAATAAAATAGATTTACATGGTAAGTGAGTTGATAATATTTGATGTAAGTACCTAATGTGTGTCGCGGAGAACCTAACGGATTACTGGGGCTCCGGTTCGACGTGCAGGAGGAGGAACGGGGTGGTTTTAAGTCAGTAAGAGCCTGACACTTCCTCTCGCCTCACCCAGGCGGGAGCAGACATTCGATGATTATCCCCCCTTAAAAAAAAGTACTTAATGTGCCAATCTACCTACCTGAGTACCTCTCTCTTCAGGGTATAGAAAACATGATTACCTATGCATTAATTTTAATTTAATTCAAGTTGGTAAGTACCGTAAAATGGGATGAATAGGGATCGAGAGGTAAATAGGGACAGAAGAGGGGTGAATAGATATAAGGAAATTCTTCATAGTATCGATTCCCTTTTCGCCGCTCAAACCCTATTCCCAGGAGGCCCAAAAGGCTGCCGCTAGTGTTCCAGGTGTCCATGGGCGACACCGATTGCTTATCATCAGGTGATCCGTCTTCTCGATTACCGGCTTATTCCATAAAAAATAAATTCAACCCATTTTACCGTAGGTACTTAGATACCTACTTTCTTAAAATTAACTTTTAACAGATATCATGTGATGTTCACGCTCATTGCTCATCACAAAGCGTGTGTACCCCCAACGGCCTGTTATCATCAAGACTACTCGTTGTAGACAGGGCAGAATGATAACCCCACGCAAAATATTCCGATACTAAAAGCAATTAGGTAAGTTACACAGTGAATAATTTAATTATTTTTATTGTTTTTAGGTAAGTCGATAACAAGGCAAAAATAAATGTGTGTATTCAACTCTTGAACTTGTTTTTATTTTAAAGTAATCCAATTAAATATCTACCTAGTACGTCGTTGTGTGGTCTTACCTATTGTCTACATAAGGTATTTCATAAAATACAGCTACATATCCTCTTGTCACGTCCCAGACTCCTAAGTAGGTACCTCACCGAGTATAGTAAGATACATACGAGAATGCCAAGTGACATTTTGGCATAATTCTTTCGCTCCTCATCTTATATATAATATTCATTAATCTTTTCATGCATGCTCGTCGATTGAAAGTTTTTAATTTAGCCCTTTTAGCCAAGTACCTAAGCCTTTTTGGTCGGTGCACTTGCATCAGTCTACCCATCCTTTAGTCTAGTATAGAATTTGGGGCGCCTCTGAACGGGAACAGGCGGTGAACAATTTTCGGGAGATACCAAGTTTGGTAGGTATTGCATCTTAGTCTTATTCTAATGACGATAGATAGTCACAACGCTAATATTGCTTGCGTCAAGTGAATTTTTTTCCCGGCTATGATATTTCTTATGGTTTCTGCTTCTAGTCTAGACAATGATTTTCAACAGTAGGTAATGAGCCGCTCAATTAGCCGCCCTCGTGCGCCCGTGTGCTGTGCATGCTTTGCACGCCCGCTTACTGCGCGCCTGCTCTGTCTAAATCCATAACATAACTAAAAATAATTAAAACTTTACTCTCTTTGAAACTATGCTTATATTTTCTTCGTATCTTCCATCTTCAAAATTCGAAGATGGCGAAGTTTGACGTTTTTCTCTTTGTTATTTTTGAACGAAATATTATAATTCATGATTTTGACAAAACGCCAAAATACAAAATGTCATTTTGCTTACTTCACTGCTTAGTCAGTTTTCTGTTACAATTATTGCAATAATATCCATAACCATATTTTCCTATTGGTTGACAAATTGACATAACAGCTGTTTCAGATGTTTTGACAAAATGCTAATAAAGAACAGCCTACATTTTTGAAGAGTGCTGTAAACATGATAAAAGATTTTTAGATCTTGTCTTTACCTTAAGTTAATGTTATCAGTTGATAATCTATGTTATTAATAATGATTAGTCACCTAAAATTACAAGCAAACAATTGTAACGTTGCACAAGTGCTTATCTAAGCGCCAAATCACGTAAAAATGTTTGTGAGGTTACGGCGTAATACTTCAATTATAATTGGTAAATAAGTATGTCGCAATCGTCATCGTCGTTTTCTAATGGATGGGCGATCGACACTGCGCCTGACCTGCAGAACTCGAGTGATAAGGACGTAAGTGGCCCCCTGCCGAGTTGTTTGTCTCTTCGATAATGCGTCCTCTATGACCTTATCAGGACGAAGTTGCGTGTTTTTCTTAAATTTGTTTATATAATTTGACTGTTTTGCAGTAGTTAAGCAGATTATAAAGAAATTTGACCAGAAGTTTAAATATTTCAAATATTTGAAACCAATAATACCAATTTTTTTCATAATACAGATCTATTATGAAAACATCTACCCAGATTTGTTGTTATTGAAATACGTCAAAGAGCTCTTGGAAAATTTGAATTTCAAAATGACCTTTAATAATTCTATTTATCTGATGTGAGAATGTTCAAATTCTAATTGTAAACCTAGTTAAGTTGTAATTCCACTCACTACTTTCAGTGGAGACAGTTTTATTTCATCATCTATACTTCTATATACACTATAACTAGGTAATTAAAAACGTCCAGACAATAATCTTGATGAATTGACATATTTTGTAATGAACATGGAATTAATTTTTAATCTTGGGTTATTTTTGAACTAATTACTGTCTGCAATGATATCTAATAGGTATTGATTATGTGATTACAGTTATAATTTCGATGTATGACACTATAGAAATAATATTAATAATAATACCTATTACGTAAATTGATTCTATTAAATACAGTTGAATACAGTTCTAATATCTTGTTAATACTGAACAACTGAATACTTTATTCATAAACTTAATATTCCATAAACATACACTACACTCTTTCATTATATGTGACAGACAAACATTATGGAAATTGAGTTACATAAGTTTCTATTGACTGCTTATAACTTTAACAAATAACATTAATATGTTAAACATGATTAACAACTATAAGTACTAACATATTGTCTATTCATTAACGGTTTTGCAGTGACTCAGTTAAACATACTTACAACCGCGGAGGACTTAATGTGTTGCCGGGGCTCTGGCTCGAAGAGCACAATTAGGGACGGGTGGTTTTTAGTCAGTAAGTCTGACACTCCCTCTCGCCTCATGGAACACAGAAAAGGGTCATTGAATGATTTTCTCCTCTCGAAAAATAAATAAAACCTACAATGGGTGTAGTGACAATAGCAGATTAAAATATACAATATAGAAAACTAGTACTTATATAGGTACTTTTTTTTTTAAGGGGGGAAAATCATCGAATGACTGCTCCCGCCTGGGTGAGGCGGAAGGGAGTGTCAGACTCTTACTGACTAAAAACCACCCCGTTCCTTCTCCTGCACGTCGAGCCGGAGCCCCGGTTACCCGTTAGGTTCTCCGCGACAGTACTTAGGTACTAAGGGTGGGTTGAGAATATAGAAATAGTTAGATTAATATATTTTATTAATTGAATTATTACTTGTGTTAATATATCATACTGTAAAGTCCTATATTGGCTTCCAATCTGATAAGAACAATGGACACAGTGTCATGTGCCTGACCTTTGATCTCCCGTCTTTATTTGTTTAGACCATTTTGATGATTTCACTATCAGACCATATTTAAACAAGAGCTTAATTGTCTACAAGATACAGGGATGCTCTGTATTAAGTACTTCTCATGTTTTTGAAATTAAAAATTCATCTATAAAGGTTGTAGTCTCGAAATAGTATATAATATAAACTTATGCCATAAACACCTTAACTGGCTTAAAATAAGAATATTTATTGTGCATTACCTGCCTCTTAAACCACTACATAATTATACACAAGTACCTACAACTTATATCCAACACAAAATATTTTAAATGCTTTTTTTTTTATTTTTACACTGTGATAGGTCTCACTAAATCACCACATAACATAATAATAATGAATTACATCACAAAGCAAGATTATGTTTTGTCTCTCTAAAAGAAGGTATATACATAATCAGAATTCTAGTAATATAATATTCATTATTTAATAACAACTATTATCTATAATATAAAATATTCTATTAAATAAATGTTAAAAACCAATTGTTAACAAGATAATTTCGCTAAAATAGTGTTAATAGTAATAAAAGACCTATGGATAAAATGTATGTAGGGCCTAAAATACTTCCTTGCGGAACACCAGACGGTCACTAACTGGACTAAACGAGCTTGATGCATTCTTTGCACTGAATTGCATATTGTCCACCTTTGAACTAATTCTGGATTCGCTTGATTTACATTAAACTAATGTATTCAAATTCTAGGTCCATTCAACTCTAATGACAATGTTGTTAAGCACTCAAAACCTAGTTTCTATTACGTTTTTAATTTCTTGTGCGTATTAATGCTGAATACTTTTTGGATCTATAAGTAGAACCTAATAAAATAATATAATTTAAATGTAAGCAGGTACATAGGCATATTCAAAATCATCAATTCATGATGAAGTACGCATTCGAAATTGAGGAATAGAATATGAACAAACCGCAGGCCCGCAGAATATGAACAATACGGTTGAAACGTGTGGAAAATGTTCTAAGGATCGATATCATTTAGCACTGATTTAGATTCTTATACAATTTTACGTGACTTTTCCCTTAAAAGAAAATATTGAATTTATTTCTTTTAGTAACAGTTATAGTCCTAATCATTGACTTCTGTTCTGATAACCGCAATTCATACCAGAAGTTATAAGACCCCACATCAATTTGAAGTTATCATAAATAAATAATATACGCATGTTACGTAGTTAGATACTTGTTTTTCATGTATGTACGCACGAGCTATAAATATATTTTCAAGATAATTATCTATACTAGTGTCACTTTGATAATTATTGCACGCCTCTTTTTTATTAGTACATGCCTACAAAATCTATATAAATGGGTTGGCGTCCATGTGTTCGCAGTTATTTCTGTTTATGTGCGTTGATGATACATTGTAGTGTGTTTTGTGATGGTTAACAATTTGAGCGTTACTTTCGGCGATTTTGTCTCCGTGAGTTTCAATTTGTTCTTTATTTGTTTGTTTTGTTGCCTAAAAGTTTCATAGGTTTATAGGCTCACCATGGTAATTTGTAACAGAGTTGAATTATTATTTTATGTAATGTGTTTCCGTATTAACGTTTGTAACAATATCCAGTAAATTCAGGGTGTACATATTTTTAACTGACTTAACTTTACTATGTTGTTAAATTACAGTATCCTGCTTATTAGTGGCGACCCTACACTATCGCAGCTTCTCATTACCCCCTAGTCAGTAGGCACGGATACTTATTATCATGTGGGGTGGCGATCTCGACCTTCCACCTCACTCACCCGCGGTGCCTACGTCCCTCGTCTGCCGCTGATAACGACTCATATAAATGATCGCTTATTATCGCCTCGCACTATACTCGTTCAGTGTCCGTACGTCTACCTACCAGTGTACACGTTCAACGCATCACTAAGCTTCGTTTACCTCAGTTCGCGCAATTTAGTCGTTGTTTATATCATCACTGCATAAATTTTGTTCAGTTTTAATATTCCTCATGGCTAAGTTCGTCGACCGTGATTTTCTTTCTCCTAATTAAGTTGACCAAGTGTCTCTGAAAGTGGACTTGAAAGTGTTACAAACTCTCTGTGAACGCAATTCAAGCGTTGTCTTCGTTTCTTTTAAAATTCACAGTGGCACCAGCATACATGCATTTTTCGAGCGAGGTGTTGCAAAAAATGACCATTGTTCTGATGTACCGTATCAACCCTATCTACTATTCAGACTACTCGGATACGATTTAGGTTTCTACCTGAAATACTATCGACTCAAAAGCTATCTCTGTCATTGGCTATATAATTTTGAATACTACAAGTTTGGAGTATATTCTAAAGATATCACCTGACAAAGGATATTTTCTTTTCAACCAAAAAGGACTTGACTGTACCCCAGAATGGATATTGTGGCAAACGTAAGTTTTAAAACTCAGTTGGTAAAGTCTCATTTTATCACGAAGTTAACTCATCCAAGACTCGTGGGTGGATCAAAGTTTATCGTTTTCCACTGACTATTCGAACTTATGTTAATAGAGATAATATTTATGTTCACAGTACCACCCGGTGTTCAAGGCATTTCTCGCCGGTTCCTTCTCCGGGACCTTTAGCGCTGTACTGTTCCAGCCGCTTGACTTGGTGAAGACTCGTCTACAGAACCCGTCTCAACATGTTGTTGCGGCGACTGTCAAGTAAGTCACATCTTCGTGTAGACAACTATTTGTAAACTCTATATGTATTAACACTTCGATACCTTCCCGCCTAACAACAATCAAAAGACTGTCATATAGCAACAAATAATAATCACTAACGAATAGAAAAACAACTTGACAAATAACTAGATTACAACAGACAGTATTTGAACAAAATTATCTTGTTGCTACGAAACGAAGTGTAGGTAGGTAGTGACGAGCCAACGACTGATTAAGGTTTTATTAATTTGTTTTGTAGATGTTACTCTAGTGTGCCTACATTATGAGATAATTATCGAGTAATTATAACTAACGCGGGCTATATCCTTAACATTGACATTGGGAGTGTCTGCTAATCGTCTGTATGCGATATAACACGCTTCCCTAAACTGCTAATGACCTATTATCATTTTCCGCGTTAAATATTCTCAAATATTAATGTAAGTTGAAAATATTTTATCTGCTTGTTTATTCATTATTAAACAAGCAATATTTGAAATGATTCAGACTTTAATTACCTCTAGTTTAGTGTCTCGTTATCTTATTTCTCTTAACTCGTCGAGTACCGGTTTTATAGACACAATTAAAGAACAATAGGTCGCGGTCACCGGTGACCGCTTGGTGTTTGACAGTTTAAATTACTATATCTAAGGGCGCATTGTTGCGACCCAGGCGCGTGCAGGCGCGGCGAGATATTGAAAACATACGACATGTCGGTCTTAGTTAGCAATAAATCGATGATAAACAAATGGTTTTGTTTACCCTTTACTTTCAATCAACCACAAAGATTATCGGTTACTAAAAACTGCGCATAAGTCTGACATTTAGTGATAAACTGGTACTCTAACATGCCATAGAATTATCAGTATACATTGCATTGGCCCCAATGTGTTCCCTGCGGTACTCCTATGGTATTTTTATTTTAGATACTTTTGATGTTATTGTAACATATTTTGTTTTGTTTCACAGCAGCCGAATCCAACCCGGGATGATGACGATCTTCACGAACATCATTCGACAGGAACAAATTGTGGGACTATGGAGGGGCATGGTTCCTTCCATCGCTCGTTGCGTTCCCGGCGTGGGAATCTACTTCTCCTCTCTGCACTGGTTGAAAGCCAAAATGGGCAAAACCAAGGGCGACTTGGGCGCCTTGGAAGCAATCACGTTGGGAGTTTTTGCAAGAACCATGAGTGGCGTTGCGTTAATACCCATTACTGTGATCAAAACTAGGTGAGTTTGTTATACATCACTTATATATTTATGTATTTATCTTAATCCCAAGCCTATGGATGCTGAAACCTAAAAATAGATTATTTAGTTTCTTAACTTTAAGGTGATAAATATGAAACTAAATAATAATATAGTTACTATGGATACTAGCGAACGCGTGAACGAGTAGTTTATCAGTATCCATGCTACGCTACATTATCATTGAAAACATGAAGCGAAAAATGTTACAATTACCTTTAAATGGGTTTGTTCCATGACGCAGATAATTAACGATTTCAATCAAAAGGTTGGTCTGTGTCGTCATATCAAAGATATTTATGAGCCCACCTTCATTATTGAGCACTTTTTAATCAGTAAGCAGCGTCGAAATAATTATCCGTTCGTTGTCTTCGAGTGAATAGGTATCTGATTAAATGCTGGCTCGTGAATGTACCTACACGTTATAGAACGCGTGGTCAGGTCAACTGTGACAATAGCTATGGTAATGCGAGGTTACAGCGCAGTCGTAGTTTTTTTTTTTTTTTTTTTTTTATTTATTATTACATTTCAGTACAGTTTAAAATTTTTTTTTGCACCATTAAACCACAGCTGGTTTGTATTGGTACTCACATTCGCAGTTTTATGTTATAAATAATATAATAATATATAATATATAAACCTATTCAGTGTGACAATTATGCTAATATAATAAGTGACAAAGATTTTAGATACATTACATATTTTACGAGTAACAGTAAACATCCATGAGCAAAGCATAAACGTACTCATTAAAATTGCAAAGAAACAAAGTACTCAAAGAAACCGATACCGACACACACGGCACTAGCCAATGTTAAACTTTTGCAGTCTACCCCACAATATGCTACATTGGCATTATGTCTTCTATTAGTTCTCAATATGTAACCGGTCCTCGTCAACTTAAAAAATTGTAATATACAGGCTGTTTCCTACATTTTGGTTGTGAATTTTAGACCATGTTATTTATGATACTGTGGTAGTATTTTTTATATTTCTGTTTATAGTTTTTGGAGTTAATTTCGTATTTGATATTTACTGCGCTGTTGTCCGTATCTTCGTTCTGATTTAGTAGACTATTCACCTTACGTCCGGAAAATGCTAAAATATACCTTTATAGTGTGACTCGCCTGACGCGGTCGAGTCAGAACTATTAGCAATTACATCTAAATAACATTGTTCCCTATTTTTTCCTCAGATATGAATCTGGGGTGTACAAATACAACAGCTTGGGTGGTGCCTTGAAGGCCATTTACAAAGCGGAAGGCATCCGAGGCCTTTCCTGTGGTCTGGGCCCAACCCTCGCCAGAGATGCACCTTTCTCTGGCCTGTACCTCATGTTTTATTCGCAAACCAAGCAAAGTGTACCTAAAGGTAAGATATTCTATTTGGTCCTTTGCTCACGAAAGGACCAACTTTACTGCATTTTAAAACGCAGTAAATTTGGTCTTGTATTTGACAGATAATTTTATAAATTAGTGAATGTTGTAGAAGCTCGTTATCAAAGCGTTAGAGACAAAAAATTGTGGGTTAATAACTATACTAAATACGTTGATAAGTGTTTAAGTACCTATTGATAAAAAGGTCGCGCGATCCTTCTTGGAATGAGTAAACCGATGTTTCTATCGATTTATCTCTCAATGTGTAGTTGTTACGTAATTTTAAACAATGTTGTTATATAGGTGCCTAGTCTTTGGACTGTATTACATTAACATTAGTTATTTAATACGTACTTTGTAACTAATATTTACTTTCTTATTGATTACAAACGTTAGAAGCGTGTTCACATCACGTTTATATAAATTGTGATATATTTATCTACAGTTTATGTTAGATTTGTAATTATTGTTCTTATTTGTTTGTTTTCTGTACTCTATATCAATAGGAGAATGTTTACTATTAAGAAAGAAATTATGTCGTACTTGGATTAAAAAGAATTAATTGTAAAATCATCAAAGGCATTCATTTTTTTAAAGTAGGATAGTAGAATGAACTGGCGCTTGTTTTTCTGGAATACTCATTGAAAACACGTTGCGATTAATTCCGTGATAACAAATTAATCTCTGATAAATAATTATTATCGTGTTTTGTAGGGAAACGCGTCAGCAAATGTGTTTTTGTTTGTCGGTCTTTAGCATTAAAATTATTGAAATCTAATCTCGTTTGATATGAATTTGGAATACGTAATTGACGTCAACCTTTGGCAGCATATCATTATCGGTGTCCGCATTATTCAGAAGTCAATTTGACAAAAACATAGTGACTAATTGTTTTTTTTTGTTGTAAACACCATTCACTTCCTATTTATTTACGAAATGTTCTAGGTAGATAGATGAATAGATTGTAAATTATTTGATCAATATCATAGGGAACATAACTTAATTAATAATACTTGCTAATCGTGATGTAGGTACGTTATCATATAACCCATATACGTATGAAGTATGTATGTATTGACGTAGTATATCACACCATATTTTATTATTAAAATAAGTACCCACGTCAATATTACTAACTAAAATAAAGCTACAAGATGAAGGCGTAGTCGCATTGTTTTATAAACATTGTTACGTATGTGACATCAATCGCGTCAATGCGAGCCTAATGCTAAATACTGATAAATTAATAAAATTAAATAAACATTAGAGCCTACTTGGATATTTAACCCCTACATTTGTTATTTTCTAGATAGATAATTTTACCAATAACATCTTTATTCAATAACAGCTTCTGGGTATTATAGATAAGTACAAGTAATGTCGTTAAATAGAACTATGTAGTTACTAATAGAAATTATTTAGGCTACTCAAATCTAGCTATCGCCAAGTCGAGCGCGAAGCAAACACTGCCGTACCATCCTTTACTGGAACCATTTCGCCCAATTTTCAGGCCCCTATTTGAGAACCTCTGCATAAGACCAGAACGCAGAAATTTTCATCATATTCATTTACAAGAAGCTAGAGCCTCTATTATCTAAAGAAAGCTCAAATAATTATGTAAAGTTTGAATACTTTATTACTTTAATAATTTATCTCACCTATTCAGTAAATTGACCAAAATTTCTCCATCTTTGCAGAATGGATGCAGTCGCCTGGTGCAGCCAGTGCCGTCCACTTCAGCTCCGGTATAGTTGCCGGGATCGCTGCGTCTCTGGTAACCAACCCAGCTGACGTGCTCAAGACCAACATGCAGTTGTACCCTGACAAGTTCCCCAACGCATTCAGCGCGGCTGTATATGTACATCAGGTAAGACAATGCCATTTTGAACTTTAATACCATTATGAATAAAGACCAAATTGCAATAATGATGATGCTGGAACCAAGTAGATTTCACTGTCAAACTATTGTCTTGTCTAGGACAAAAAGAGATTTCAATATAATTTTCTGACCTCAAGCATTATCCGAAATTAATGTTGCCACACAAAAATGGTTATAGCTATTTTATCTGTTTAGTAACAAAATGTTGTACCTCTAGATACTAAAATTCAAAGAGGTTAAATAATAATACTGGTGACACCTAGGTGATGTGATGAAACATCGAAAGATGCTCTAATTAACCAGGTAGGTATTTTGTAGATGAATAAAAACTTAATTAGGTACCAATCGCTTGTGCCACATGTCAAAGGTGCTTTGGACTTGTGATAAGTAGAACAGGAAGATTTTCTGAATGTTTATGTATGTTAAAAAACGGATAGTAGATATTTACTTAGGTAGTTGTCTGAAGATATTTTATTTGCATGTTGAAATGGAAAAAATAACGAAGAAAATCAATTTAAAATATGAAATCTGTCGCTTAATTAAAATAGGTCTAGCAAGGCAACATTTACGCCCATATACTGAAAGGCTAAATATCGTGCCATCTCTTTCTTACATAGAATTTGTAGTGGCGACTTAAAATTGTAAAGTAGCCTTTCAGTATTCGGTTGTTAGCCTCTTAATTATTAAGATAACCAACAATCACGGGGGTCGTTTATTTTTTTTAATTAGGTGTATCTATCACCCAGACGTCGCGTGTTGTATAGTTCACGTAATGTCAAGTTCACAGTTTATTTTTTCACTAATTATTGGAATTGTTAATTGAGGGCATCCGAGTCATCAATATTGTTTAATTTTTGCACCATTATGACACATCTTATGTTAGGTCGTCATTAATATTTTGCGCAGAAACATATACCTATATGAGTACTGTTTTCCTTTATTACCTACTAAGAAGGAACTAAGTTTTTGAAAAGGTCGGTTTTAAAGTACCACAAGATTATAAAACAATGATTTTTCCTTTCTAAAATACCTTTTAATACTATAATTATTATAAAAAGACAAATGTAATTGAGATATTATATAGCTGAATATATATATGTAGGTAAAGGTAAATAAAGTTGATTACTTTTATCTATTAATTTAGAAAGTGAGCAAAGCTACATGTAGATACTAGTTTTATTTCGAGTTAGAGCACTTATGTAAATATTTAATAGTCTGCGTTCCCACCTATTTGTCCACTGATATTAACTTATCATGATGTAGGTAGGTACCAAAGTATAATTATGAAATATCATCATTTAATTGCAAATACTTGTTCTGAGCAGTTGTTGACCAAGAAAATATAATGAATTACTGAGAATGTTGAGATAATAAGTGAATGCTGTGTTTATCTATAAGTGAAGGACAAGTAATGCCCTCTATCGAAGTTATTGGTTGTATAAAATTGTATAACAATGACTCAGAAGAAAAATTGTTGGTATTATCTTTCTCTCTCATCTAGACAAGAGCGACATTAATTAATATTCCCCCGGGCAATAGCCAATAGGTTTTACATTTTAAAAGTGTAAAACAACATTTACCTACCTATACCTACATAAGGTTTTTTTATTCTTGAGTTATGGTCTGGCGCTATAATGCGACGCTAGCGCCATCTAGGTAGTCATAGCACAATAAAGGTTTTAAAATGTAATGGTGCGTTCAAATATTCTTATCTTTGTGTTAATGTACAGTGGTATTAATAGATATTTTTCTTTGTTACAGACATACGGCGTAAAAGGTTACTTCAAGGGTGCTGTGCCAAGAATGTTGCGCCGCACACTGATGGCTGCGATGGCGTGGACCGTCTTCGAAGAAGTTACTAGAACAATTGGCTTGAAATGATATTCTACATCTTTATTTTATATTCGTCCATTCTTGATATTGTTTTGCTTGATTTATTGGTATGATGTTCCTAGTTTTTCATCGTTTAGTTGTTCGAATATTATGTATGCTTTAATTTAGTATGTTAACGTTTTCTTAGGTTTAGTACTCAATTGTGATATGAATGTATTCAATCATTGTTAACCATTTATACTGTATTTAATTTTATTGGTTAATTCAATGTATATCAGATATTGCTAACCATAGTGATTTGTTTTGTATAGAGGATTTTACAGACTATTTTTGTATGGGCTTCGATTCTGCTGTGCACAAACGAATTTTTTCTATTCTTATATTACAGGGATGGTATCCATATAGATTACCTGTATTTTAAAGATCTTGGAGTACCTACCTGACTATTTTAAAGTATTTAAGTTTGTGTTTAAAAGAATGACAGCCATTGTACTCAAATAGCAAATGTAAGTTACTATGTGCCTATTTTATTTTATTTAAAAAAAATAAACATTTAATCAAAGTTACGTGTTTGTTTAACCTATTCGTATCTAAACTCATTGATCATTACCTCAGCAACTTAAGATGAGTCTTTTTATGATGAGCGAAAATCAACCAATGACTTCTCTCGCCTGAGTGAAGCGAGAGGTGTCTTACAAAAAGATTTACAACAAAACAAGACACAGATAAAAATGAAACACAAAATAACGAAATTATATTATATTTTACATATTTACAATTACGATTTGATTTATAAAATTTTCTATTTACTATGACACTATCATATAAACTCTAGTCCTTCATACTTGAGGTTTTCCACAAGTGTGTCGTGTAGTAACACTGTGCCGTCAGTAGTAAATGCAGTTATGTATGTGGCGGTCTTGCCCTCAAACTCTGTAGTCTTCAAAGCTACTATGGCCTCATCCTTAGTTCCCGGTATGAACTTGAACGATGAGAAACCATGCTTTGGTTGGTGCTTTGTTATCTGAAAACATATTAACGAATTTGAATTTAATTAATCAATACAAATCCAGAATCCACTACTTTTGAAATTTTCAATTAGGTAATCGATTGTTTGCATTACTTGGGTATATACAAAATACTGCTGTGCAGACTGCGTCGTTGGCCGAGTGGTCGCAAGTGCGATTGCCGGGCAAGGGGTCTCGGGTTCGATTCCCGGTTCGGGCAAAGTATTACTGGGTTTTTAAAAATCTCAGCAGTAGCACGGAGTCTGGAAAGGTGCCCGGTGTATGGCAATAGACTCACCCCCCATTACATGGGACTCATAACATAAATTGTGAAAAGTGGGTGTTACATTGTACACTGGCATTAAGTGTCGTAATGTGCACCTCTGCCTACCCTTTCGGAGATAAAAGGAGTGATGACGTTATGTTATTGTACGGCGAGCAGGTCAATCTATCCTTTTCTGTCAAATTTCTCTATTTAAATTTTCAACTTAATATTTTTTTATGGTATAAGCCGGTAAACGAGCAGACTGATCACCTGATGGTAAGTAGTCGCCCGTGGACACCTGGAACACCAGAGGCGTCGCAAGTGCGTTACCGGCCTTATAGGATCAAGAATTTGAGGATTGTTGGGGATTCAGGAATTTGGGAAGGGGCGTGTGGAATTGGGCCTCCAGTAACCTCACTCACACGACGAATATTCTATTGATATAAAATCGAAAATCTAATGAATAAATTTGACAGATTGGAGTAGGTAGATTTGCTGGCCACTGTATCTATTTTAGTAATGAGGTTGTCATTATAATATGACATAGCTGTGTAATGTTATAATTTTACATTTACAAGCTCTTAATATACACAGGTGTACTTGACTAGTATTCACAAAATATTTAATTCTGTTTACTCTCAGTTTCAAAACTCAAGGCTATAAGTACATTACGTCAAAATACGATTAAATTAATAACATCTGGATAAACAATGTCTTCACTTGACGTAGTTGTAGCACTAACCAAGTGATTACGTTAAATATTCTGCATTTCCCGTCTGTGATGAAAATTATTCATTGATTGATATTACTTTTTTTGAGCGCGGAAAATCATTCAATGGCTTCTCCCGCCAGGGTGAGGCGAGAGGGAGTATCAGACTCTTACTGCGCTGGCAACCCGTTAAGCCCTCCGCGGCTCTGATTGATATAACTTGCAATAAATACTTCATATACCTAATCTCACTTTTAGCTAATGACCAAGGTTTTTTAAATACAATACAATATCGAGTATTGTTAGCAGTCACATATTGGTATCTAGATATTGAAACATGTGCCAGTAATTTTATTAAAATAATGATATAATACTTCAGCATAGTTACTGATTGATTGAAATTGTCACATATATTTATATATGCATGCAAAGAAGTATTGACTACTAGTTATCCATTTTAATTTATAGTTTCATGTCATCCCTGTTAGCATTAAATTATATGGCTCTGTGATTAGTGGATTACCAGTCTTGTATTATAAAATTCCGACCGAGAGACTCGAGTCCCATATCGTAGTCTGACCAAATATCAACGGAGCTGGAAATACCCATGAATGTTGCAATGCATCAAGCAACAGAACGAGATAAGTGGCGACATCTAGTGAACAAAATCAGAGGGAGACACGACCAGTAGTGAGGAAATCGACTAAGAAGATTGTAAAAGTATTCAATTTCTAAAAAAGCTTACCTCAAGAGCATGGACGTGTTTAAAATTTTCATCAGCAGTTATTAAGTAATTGCAACCCATAACTTCATCCTTGGTCTCATTGTATGGTTCATGGCTGCATCTTCTTGGTAAGAAGTGCCACAACTGCTTGAAGGGGGACCATACTCCTGACTCATGGATCATATAACCCGGCCAATTGATACCAATGGAACTGCGCACAGCTTTGTACTGATTCACCCAACTTAAATGCTGGATCTGTGAACAGAAGACAAATATTTAAAAACCTTTGAGGATAAACATAACATAATGCCTTTTATCCCCGAAGGAGTAGGCAGAGAGGTGCCCATTACGGCACTTAATGCCACTGTACAACGTAACCCACTTTTCACTATTTTTCTTTATTAGTCCCATGTTGGGGTGAGCCTATTGCCGTATAACAGGCACAATTCCGGACTCCGTGCTCCCACTGAGATTCTTTTTCGGCCAACGAGGCAGTCAATAGTGATAGAATAGATAAAGTATCTAACATCATAATATTATGGAAAAAGTGGTTGATATGTATAATCATGTATTTAACATAATACTTTTGTCTTAATGGGAGATAAAATGCCTGATATTTTATGTATAATTCTGTTATACTATAACAGATCAGGTCCACAAAAAAAAAATTGTAAACTATTAATAAAACAACTGAGATATTTCTGCCTTTCTCTACTGTGTTCCAATTTCTTGACTATTTACAGAAGTAGAATTGAGGCAGTTAGGATAATAATAATGTAGTTTATTATCAAGAAATAAATATTCATTTGTAAAATATGGTTCTTGTCAATGTGTTTTACTATGAAAAATAGACATGAATATTTTAACTTTTCAAATAAATATAATTAGTTGACTAATTTAAACTTCCCGCTTGCATGAAGTGATTATCTAAACCAATAAATTATAAGTGATAAATATTGATAACCTCATGGATTGTGAGCACCTTGCTGATAAGATATTGAACACTTCTGCTACTGCACAAGACTTATAATAATATAATATTCAATCTTGAGAGTAGTATATTATTGGATTTCCTCCAGAATTCTTAAAATTATGAACAATATCCTTACTATTATTTTTAGTAGGAAATAAATATAGAATATGCTATGTAAGTATGTAGTATGTATGCTATTGTATTCATAATGCAAACATTCAAACAAAGAATTTAAGTCTAAAATAAATTCACAAAAACTTACATAATAGTAGATTAATGTGAATTGTTTCTTCTATATCTAAAAACAGACAATTTAAATTCACTGAATATATATAAAATGTTCCTCATAAAATTACACTATCTACTTCATGTACGCTACATAATACTTATGACTGAATGAAACTTTCACATTTTTTAATTATTACTACATGTGTATTACTTGTGTATGTCTATGTGTGTCTTACTTCTCCATGAATGTTGACAGCTTTGACCCACATGGGGTCATAACTTTGGAACTCCCCGCTGGCTGTTGTCCATTCCTTGCCCATTGATCCCACATAAAGAATATCATCCTTAATAGTCGCCCATTCCGACTTAAATCCTTTTTCAACACGACCATTGCCGTCTGTTAATATCACCCATGGCAATACTTTGTTATCAACTATTTCAAACACCTGAAATAGAACAGATTTTATTTGAGTGAGAAATTTTAATTAGCAAGTTATTACATAATAAATGATGTATTATAAATAAATCAATGAAAACCTTTGGTGGGCTTAAAAAGACGGTAAAGAAGTGTTTGCTCTTTCAAAAATATTGCTAGTTTGTTAAACTGTCAAACACCAAGCGGTCACCGGTGACCGCGACCTATTGTTCTTTAATTGTGTCTATAAAACCGGTACTCGACGAGTTAAAAAAGATATTAGTTTTTTATTCATATAAACTACGTACCATTCCGGATCGATCATCAAAAGTTAGCAATCTTCCATCATACACTATCAATTCTGAGAGCTCCATGCCTCTTCCCTTGTGAGAGTACGTAGAGCTCAGTTGTGTTGGCTCTCGACTGTCCCATGTCACTTGCACAGACTTCTTTACACGATTGTAATTCAAATATCCTTTCTTTAAGTAACTAATGTATGTGTGCTTTTGTGTATTGCTCTTGGAATTGGTATCTAAGTCTGTCACTATCCCAATTCTGAATGTAACTAAATCTCCGTTGTATAACGGTGAGGTAAGAGGGTATGTTAAATTGTATGGTCTCACTGAACTGGCCCATTTATGAACTGCTGCTGGCTGGCTGCTTGTCCACCAATTGTAATAAAACAACACCACAAGGAATGCTCCTATCAAACCAATTAATAATACAAATTGTGGCTGTATCCTCACAGCGTTACCGACCCTGTACGTGGCCGGGGTGCGCAGCGCCTTACGCCAGTCACGAAGTGTACCTTTCATTTTACGATCTTCTAACTCGTAGTACTCGTTCATAATAAATAATATAATTATATCATGTTAATTTCACTCAAATTGACTTTAGACTTTATTGTATGACTAGCCGACCCATTAATAAAATAGCAAACGTGTTAATTACAACAATTTCAATGTTATAAAGATATTATTATCACCAAATTGATAGCACTATTTTTGAGAATTGGTTCTAAATAAATGTATTTGTTTATCACTTTTAACTATGCCTGAAGGTATCCTCAATACAATAATACGATGTGGAATATAGCTCATTTTGAATAAAAAGGAATTCACAGAGTTTTCATTGCTGTGCTGATACAAGTTTATGACATAAAATGACAATGACTTCAATGACACATGCTCAGGTGACAGGTATCGTAATGTAACCTTTTTGTCAATGGTTTTATTTCACGTTTCTTTTTACCCTTTGGATTTTACTTTCAAAATGCAATTACTAATTTAGAAATATAAATAAATATTGACTTCAAACACTTACTATATGCAAAATTATGATGCAACATTTTTAAAATCACGGTGCGTGTGCTGTGCAGTGGGGTTAAAATTTAATATATGTTGAATGTTATTAAGGGTCGAGGTTGGTTAGATACTCTAAGGGGCAGTGGCGTAGCATTGTTTGGCGGGGCCTCGTATAAAAAAATGTTTTGGGCCCCTTAAGAAGGGTAAAAATTTCTTACAAGAAAAAACAATGTTGCATAAAATATTAATAATTTGTGTGAAACCGGAAAACTTTCCAGGCCACTCCTACTGCCCAAATTATTTATCAGACTATGATAACTTTAGTTTTTCTACAGTTTCTACCAAGCTTTGAAAGCGTGCTTTACGCACTACAGTATCGTTTATTAACGGACTTCTCAAAAAGGAGGTGGTTTTCAATTCTGCCTGTATTGTTTTTAATTTATTTTGACTTTTATAATTAACAAAAAAAATTGGGAAGTTTTTATCAATTTTTCCTTACGCAAGTTGAGAGTTCCCGTAGTCCGGGGCCCCCGTATAATTGATATGGCAGATACGGTTCTAGTTACGCCCCTGCTAAGGCCAAGTTAGGGGTCGAGTGATAAACGTATTGTAGGTTGTACTAGGTACATATTATATAAGACTTAGATTTATGTCTCTTATAACTGTTGTAATCTTGTCAATTCACTTGGACGTCGACTTCAGGGACATCTACCTAGTAGGTAAGGTATTTTCCAAATATGCGCCAGTCATTAAATTACTTACGAGTTTACTTGTAGGCATGCCTAATTAACTAACCCAAAGAATTTAAACTGAAATTTCAAACAGTTGAAATTTGTTACGCAGGTTGGTATGGTACGCACTGTTATACTAAACTACTTTTAGTCGAAATCACCTACTTTTACATTTCTTAAACTATAAGATGCGTCTATTTTTATGCTTGGAATGAAGAGTATCTTTTATCTAGCTATCACTGCAACGGCCCACACTAGTTCGGTAGGTACACGATAAAAAAATTCTTGTAGCTTTCACTCAACGAAGAATTTCAAAAGTGATTACTCTCATGGACGGACATCCTGCGCAAAAAATGTAATTGAAACAAAATTAAACTAAACTATTTGATAGTATACCAATTTAGATTTTGACTTATTTTTTAGTTGTGTTTAGGTTCCTATGTTGTTTGATGTCCGAATGTTACCTAGGTTTATTTTAATTTTAGAAGTTGCTATTACTTACATACCACGTTCTTCGAATTTTCGTTTAGCGACGCCTAGGTACCTACGTACCGAATTATAATAATGTGTAAGAAGTACAGAAGCCTATTTGGATGTAGATAACTACATAGCTACACTTAAGTTCTATAACTATAATGATACCTATATTCATTTTTTTTTTAAGGGGGAATATCTTCGAATTACTGCTCCTGTCTGGGTGAGGCGGGACGGAGTGTCAGACTCTTACTGACTAAAATCCACCCCGCTCCTACTCCTGCACGTCGATCCGGAGCCTCGGTAACCCGTTAGGTTCTCCGCGACACCTGTATTCACCTTAAGTCAATATTGGTAATCAGGTACGCCCTTTAAATAGACTTTCAGTAAATGTAATTTTAATGTGGAAAAGTCAGCCATTTCAGCACCAACGGGCCGTCTTAGACGGGATTGAATCAATGGCCTCCAAGAAAACTAACCGTGAAACAACGCTTGTGTTGCGTTTCGCTATACGATTACTATCTTCTCTCTACCCAAATACCAACACCCAGCAACGTACCTACTTAGAAATTCCCCTGTTGTAGGTGTAGTAGTGATCTGGGCAATTAGTGATTGCGTAGGTACCATAGTGACCCTAAGATGTGTTTGCCTTTTGTCAATTTTGTCCCCTAGATCTCATATTATTAGGTTTTATTTAAGGTTAAATTCACATATTTTTTATCTGTGTTGAAATAAATCATCTATGCAAAGCTCTGGGTAAAGTTATGACAGATTTGACAGATATTTTGGCCGTTTTTTAAAATTATAAAGTAATAATAATAATAAATTATAGTCAGTCGATAAGGTAATTCCCTAATATATTTACGTATGCAATGAAATAAATATTAATTGGTAAAGCGCATGGGGAATGGGTGAATACATTATTTCAAATGTTTTGTGGTATTTGGAGTTCTTTGCATTTGCTGTTACATTAATAGCATTCTTCTGGTTTGTTTTATATTTAGCCAGTCTAAATTACGTGAATTACGCTCCTCAATACGACTTTAGGAAGAAGTAAGTAATTTATAAAAAAATATTAGGTATTGTATTTTTTTAAGTACGTAGTGTACACAATATGACTCCACTTGTGTTGATACTTTTTACGTTGTAGTCAGAAGATGAGCTCCGTCATTGAAGCGACGTGGAGGATTGTAGGAGTTTGGAGTTTGCATTAATATCTCAATATTTCTATGATATTTTCAGGTATATGGCAGATGACACCTGGTTGCTACAAAGTTAAACGTAATGGTAATAATAGATGAAAAGTAAGTAATTTTACCATTGTTGTTGATTATCTGCTAAAAGCTTAAATCCAACGTCATTAGATACCTACGTAGCACTATAACAGATAACAGTTACTTACTTAAAAGAGAGGTGCTCACTCGTTTCTATAGCCTGTAACTTGTAACTTTAATACAATAAGTGTTACTCATATATCTTTTATTATTTTATTTACCTATAGATCTTTTAATTCCTAGTCCTGGAAAAGCACCCAAACCTCGTGTGAGATCCCCGAGAAGAAAGGTTCTCGTTGACACTCAGCCTGTATGTTGCGACCCTGGATGTGTTTGGTTTTGTAGCGTTATAGTCAGCATCGTGACAGTGGGAATGTGTTACTACCTGGCTTACACACTCCTGGCAGATACGAAGCTCAGGTTTGCTATATTTATGCCCTAACAGCACTGAGACAAGACATTCAAATGGAAGAAAGCGAAAAATTCTGTTGGTGTAATTTAAATTTACCAATTTATGTCGTTGCTTGTCTTTATGTCTTTATTGTACTTATTTTGATGCAATTTCTAAAAGTAAATCAATCCAAAGGTGTTAAGTAAAAGAAGTAAATATTGTTCACTAGGCAGCTTACAATCTTCGCCATCATATTGAATGGTTTACAAAATAAATGAGATAAGCACTCGAAAGGATTAAATAATGTTTTCTATAAAACTGGTGGCACAAGAAATCTTTTACTACCAGTTTTATTACCTATTTCTATGTGGCGTCTGTGCCTTGTAATTTTGTTTTAATAAGTGATTACAGTTTGTGAATGAAAATAAAAATATGAACAATTTAATTTGTGTTACTTCTTAATTAAATTAAGTGTACTCTCTAAATTCGCATGCAAAAAGAGTACATCGATTTAGTAAGTCAAATAAAAGGAATTAAGCTATTAGGTATTATAATTGAAACTAATGACGGACGTTGAAATGAAAGTAAACCGATCATTGAATGAATGCTCAGCGTCGATAATATCTCGCCTCTTGACGACGTTATCTTTGCGATCGTGATGAGATGTGTTTGAAGAGGACAGCGTCAAATTTAGATTAAGAAGATCCACAAGCTGAAGTATTTAATTTATTTCCGAATTGTAAAAACTCAGTCATACAATTGATATTCTTTTAGCCGTTTTTTTATTATCTTTATTTCGGTTAATGTAATGTCATAATAACTATCGTGAGTCGTACTAAACTAATTAAAAATTATAGGTGCGCGGTCGCGGCGATGTCCCGCAGCCTACTTGGCCTTCAGACTATCGCCGTGACCGCGCACGCTGTTCATGAGGTAGAGCCCCTCTGGGGCTCGAAACTAATAGAGCTTTCCTCAGTATATTCATGTGAGTAACCCCGCGATTTTTGGTTAATGTAATTATGTTCTAATTGTTGATACTTTGAATACATAATTTTATTACATAGTGGAGGAATTATAACTGTACCTTTGAGAAAAACAATAATAAAAATATCTCTAGAATTGGTCTTCGGTGGTAGTCCACCTTCTTAGTGTTTCTGTACCAGATTTTGTGCTAGCCAAATCGTAAGAAGCAGTTATTTGCACAATCAATTCGCGTGGAACTTCTGTCTGTGATTACTGTGTCGTATGAATTTCGCGTGCATTGTGATCGATACTAAATACACGTTAGTTAAGAAAGTTTCGGGGGCAAGTTTAAAGGAAATTCATTACTGATTCATTGAATTTATTTGCAGTATCTATTCGTGTCGCCAACATATTTGTTTTAACTGTTGACTAGCGTGCTAAATACATGTCATTTAATTAGTAGGACATTAATGTTAGTGTTGTTGTGGTATTTACTAATAGGAAGTTCACGAATTGCATCGTTCTACTATGAACAAGGGTATTCTCATCAACTATTTTGTAGGTGTATTGAACCTTTTTTTAGTAGGTGGTACGGGTACCTATTACCTATTGAAAGAGCCATTAATACCATCTGTATGCCGATTCGGAGTCGCGGAGAACCTAACGGGTAACCGGGGCTCCGGCTCGACGTGCAGGAGAAGGAACGGGGTG